GGATGAAACAGAAGCTCTTCATTTGATATTCCAAAGTGCAAATTTGAATAACTTTATTTTCAGAAAGATAAACAGAAATATTTAATATTCATTAGGGACATTAGTGAGCCTAAGTGTCAAAGGTTTGAATAATTTTCTTTTCTGAGAGAAAAATAAAAGTGTTTACAACGCATTAGAAACATTAGAGAGACTGAATGCTAAAGGTCCTCAGTAAACATGACACCATTTTATTAGGTGAGAAGAAATAAAAACAAGGACAGTTAAGGAATGGTTATTATTCAAACTCCTTCGCCAATAGCCAGAGTTGACTGAACTAATATTGTTTTGTGATATGATGGTTGAGCGAGGTTCCCAGAGAAAGAGAAAGACTAGAAATGACCAGACATCTTGAGACCTAGACTGAGAACTCACTCTGTTAGTTGAAGTCTTGCCAGATGCTGGAGGTAGGAACCTGAATTCTCATGGGAAGCCCTGACCTCTGACCCAGCAGATGTATGAACATAGAAAGAAAGAACGAAGAAGGCTTTTGCAACCCATATACCCACTCTGCTGTCGTTTTCTGTGTTTTAGAACATTGTCAGTACTTTGTTATTTCACTGATAAGTGCTTTGAGAATATGTTTTTTTTTAATTACTGGGATTTTGTAACTTCATATACAACCCATGCAAGTTAACCATTCTCTTTGAATCGGAATTCTATGATTAGAGACTAAATGCATCATTCCTAGGGATTCAATGATCATCAGGATCTCTAGTATTAGAAATTTCACTGTGCTGCAGGATGCCGGTGGTGGCTCATGACCATAATCCTACCTACACAAGGTGTAGATCTGTGGATCAATGTTTGAAGCCAGCCCCGGCAGGAAAGTCTGTGAGACTCCTAACTTCCAAATAACCACCAAAAAACTGGAAGATGACCTGTGACTCAATTTGTAAGGTGCCAGCCTTAAGCCCAAAAGCTCAGGGACAGCAAGCCCACCCTGAGTTCAATCCCCAGTACCAGCACACACAGGCACACCCAGAAGAAATTCTACCATGCTAATCATCCATGACTTCGCTGAACCCTCATCAATATCCTAGAGTAGTAGCTCAACTACTCCATTCATTGGTGGGAGTGAGGGGGGGAGGGTTGAATTAGGCTGCCCCAGGTTGTATGCCATACATCTCTCTTGCCCTTGCCCTTGATGTTGGAGGCCAGCTGGAATTGACAAGGCTTAGCCAACTCTCTTTTCCCTTTCATCAGGCTCAAGATGCACATAAGCTAAGAGAATGCATTGTCTGTATTTTCCAGTACCAAATACTTTTGAACAAATAAGAGGGAAACAAAGATGTAGCTCAATGGAAAATGGAAGGGTACTTAAACAAGGCCCTGGGTTTTATCTTCAGCAACACATACACCACACACACACATCAGTTACCTTACTGAAGGTCACACTGTAACAAGGACATTGTGGTGTTTTCCAATCTTTTGTCTGGAAAGAATCAGTTTTGTTACCTTCTTGTTGCAGAAGAAGCAGTCCTGTGAAGTTATTGTGCTTGTTTAGGTTAAGCTAACGTCTCAAAACTCCTGTCTTCTAAATTCTTATTTCACTAATTGTACTGAAGAAATCTATTTAAAAAATATCAATTTTCTATTTAGTTATGTTTTATGTTTCCTCCTTCTAAGATGAGATTTAAAATAGTAGGAAAATTTTAGCCAATTTATCCATATTCATGCAAATTCATTGATTTCCTTTGGATCTGAGTTGATGTGATTAAAATAAGCTATGAGACATTGGATTTATGTGACTGCCCAGGTCTCAAATTATTCAGTATATTTTGTCCTTGGCCTATGTGTCAGCTCCATCCTGAGTTCCAATAATTGCTTTTATCTTTGAAGTCTGGCATGAGGCATTAAACACGTATTCTTTCGAGAAAGATAAATTGGAATATAATTTCATTGCTGTCTTACTGTTGCAAAACAGAATTGCTCAACAGTGTGCCCTTTATGCTTCTGACAATGGAATTAAGGCTGATTTTCCTTTCCAATCTGAGCGCTATTTTTGGCTTCTGTCACTACTTAATGGAGTCTTGCTAGTAGGGGCTCTCATTTTTAACTTGGAATAGTTTTAGTGCTACAGTTAATAAGCATACAAATTTCTGATAAATTGAGGCTAATCCAGGCAAGAGATGAGGTCAGATATACAATGCACCATTATCTATATTCTAGAAATGGAGATGTCACTAATGTGTGTTAGGTCTCTGAATATTTAAGATGAGGATTCTGAGTGGCATGCTTACGTGGAATAATTTCTTAGGTTAATGTTATGTGCTTAATACTATTAAAATTCCAAAGTTGGAACACTCAAACCCTGAACAATTAGAGTCCATGAAATGTTGTACTGTAGCAATTAGAGACCATTGAACTTGCTAGCCTAAATCAGGAGAGTAATTAAAATTAAGCTGATTAACTGGCTGTCCATATTTCCGGGAGGGGGTGATGTATTAGATATGAATCCAGGAATATTGTCTCCTAACGATATCCTGGGTTTGAAGCCATATATGTGGAGGATAATGCCTTAGAAATATTCCTTAGGATCATGAGAGAATATTAAATGATAGATACGTTTAAAAGTGGTATGTAACTATAAACAATGAATTTGGTGATTATTTTCAAATTGTTTCAGAAGAAAGAAAACAAAGAAAAGGACTTTTTTTTTTCAGTCCTGGGGCTTGAACTTGGGGCAGAGGCACTGTCTCTGAGTTTTTGGATTTTTTTTTTCTCAAGGCTTTCCCTCTACCACTTGAGACACAGCTCCATTTCCAGCTTTTTTGTGAGTAATTGGAGATAAGAATCTCACAGACTTTTCTGCCCAGGCTGGCTTCAAACCTTGATCCTCAGATCTCAGCCTCCTGAGTAGCTAGGCATGAGCCATTGGTGCCTGGCTAGAAACGGACAATATAAAAGGCATGGCATATATATATTTTGTCAAAATACAACAGGGCTCAGTGTCTCTCAGATTTGTATAAATGCGTAGAACTCAGGTGCTACGGTTTAGGGAGTGTCTCTTTGGTATAATAAAAAAGCAGTGTTTTCTGTATTTCTTATATTGATTAGATTAGATAACTTCATGAGTACAGAAGGGTCATTTAGATAGGACTGCACTAGAAATATTTAAAATTACTGACATAAATTGTGTGTTAGGAAATACTTGGAACAAGTCAAGTAAGTTTTCTTAATTCCCATTTTGCAGGTGGGACAATTGAGATCAAATAAAGTAGATTGTAAATCAATAAATGGGATTGCTGTCACTCAAAATTCCCCAAAGCACTATTATCCTTACTTATACAGACATAGAAAAGAAATGGGTCTATTACTGATTGAATTATATATTTGAGGTGAAATGGAAAAGCTTGAATACCTGGAATTAAATAAAAATGTAGCAACTTCTGTCTTTGTTATTTCTTCTTTTCAAAAGTTTACAGCATATATATATATATATATATATATATATCGATATGTTATATATATATATAGATCGATATATATATATATATATATATATATACTTAAAATGATATTTTGGAACAAATTACTGTATAACCTGCTTTTTTTCTGTGTTGTCCTGGGATGTGGGCTCAGGGCCTTCTGTTCCTGATCTTTTAGTTATGTTTATTATTTTATATAGGATCTTGTTTTCTTGTCTGGGGCCAGCATTAGATGGTGATACTCCCACCTAAATCCTCCTGCAAAGCTGGGCTGGCATGTATACCACATGTAGCTCAGCACCCAGCTTGTTTTGTTGAGATGAGATCTTGTTAACTTTGGACTGAGTTTGGGAGTCAGACCTCTGACTCCCAAGAAGCTAGGATTACAGGTTTGAGTCACTGTACCTGGCTTGGACTATCAATTTTGAGAATATCTAGGAGACTCTTGTGGTGTAACTCAGTGGTATAATGCTTGACTGAAATGCAAGAAGACCTATATTTGATTGTTAGCATCACACACACACACACACACACACACACACACACACACACACACACACACTAAACAGTGGATGGAGCAAGGCACAGGAAGTCCTTGAGACTCTTATCTCCAAACAACCAGAAAACCAGAAGTGGACCTGTGGCTCAAAGTGGTTGAGAGCTAGCCTTGAGCACAAAAGCTCAGGGACAACCCCCAGGTCCTGAGTTCAATCCCTATGACCCACAAATAAACACCAACACCAATACCAAAACCAATATTTAGATGTTTATTATCACAATGTTTCAGAAAAACGATTAGAGCAAGTCAAGGAAAATGGGAATTTCAATCCTGATTGTATTTCTATGAAAGTTGTTATGTATTAACGTTTGCTTAAATAGGAGACAAATGATGTTATGATGTTATTCTTGAAACCAAACTGATATTTGTACATTTCACTTAAAATAACTGTCCTTTGCCTAATTGTTCTTTATTTTTTCTCTTTTTCTCAAAGAAAACATCTTGCTAGAATTATTCAGCTATTCTTGTGAGATCTTTGAACTCTAAAGCTATTATACCAGCCTATTCTAAGATGTTTCTTTATGAGCCTTACTAATGACTCATAATGTAAATGTTAAAAATGGATGGACAAAGCTCCTTAGCTAAATGAAGTCATTTTCCTAGCCATTGACACTCATTATAGTGTGCAGAATGCTTTTAAAATGCAGCTTCCTCTGATCTGCAAACATAATGCACTAGAATGGTTTAAGATTTATCACGAGTCTGTCTCTTACCATTTGGAACTATAAAGATTTAGTGAGCCAAAAACCTTTTAACTTTTTGGAACTATTTGAGAATAGGTTTACTAAAATTAATAAGAGAGACATCAATTTAATTTCTGCAATATGACTATTTTAAAGTTTATAAATGAATAAAGTGTTTTTTCTGTGTTTTTATTTCTCACTTTGCAGGTTATCCACATTTTCTTCTTAGAAGAAGAAAAGCGAGTCATTGAGATCTTAAATCTCTCTGCCTTGTCTCCTTCTTGAAGAACAATGGAGGTGATTTCATGTGGAAGAGGAGTATTCCTTTCTGTAATTTTCTTCCTGTTAAAATTCACCACAGCAGTTGAAATACCACTATCAGGTAAAAGGAGAGCATTCAGTGTCTGTACTGGAATTTTATATTGCCTCTTTAAGTAGAAAGTTTGTGGATTGAGAATGTAACTTTTCTGTAATATTTCCATAGATTATTTTTCCCCAGAAATGTGTCATGAGAATTCTTGTCTGCATTTTAGGGACTGTTTGGTTGCAGTAATTATGTTGCAGCTCATGCTTTTTGCTTCATATGAAAACACTTGGCCTGTAACAAGAAATAGATCTAACAGATCCAGTGATCTTTCTCATTCCATATGTCTAAGATGGTCTGCAGTATTATAAACAGCTTTTTTTTTTATACATGTGGGTTGACTTATAATATGGAGAATTTTGAGTTAGTGTTCTGAAGTAGTCATACAGACTGAATAGGAATCAAACACAATGACCTTGATGGTATGTGTTTATCTTTAATTTTTGTTTTTTAATTGTTATTATAAAGGTATTATTACATAGAGGAGTTATGATTACCTAAGTCAGACAGTGAGGACACTTCTTTTTGGACAATGTCACTCCTTCCCTTGTGCTCTCCCAATATTTTCCTTCTGTCCCCACCCACAAGTTCTATCGTTCATTTTCAACGTAGTATCTAATGAGTTTCACTGCTGCATTTGTTCACCCTCTGTCTCTCCATGTGTTTTGAAACCATTGTTGAGGTTCACTTTCAATTTCTTGTTATGGCGATTTTATATTCCGTAGTATATCTACAAGCTTAGATCCCATAACCCAGGTAAGAAATCTCATTTCTACTTTTCTTAACAGATGGGTAGGCCTTTCTGACAGTATTCTTAGGTCTTAAGGAATCCAATTTCCCTGGCCTATGGATATTTGGATGTAAAGCTCTCTTTACTTACAGCCAGCATAGCATATACTCAAGTTCATTACTCTGCGTTTGAAGTGTAGAAATTTATGCTGAGGCAGAGGAGCCTTCCTTACCTCTAGTGAATTCTCTTGTAGGAATGTTCAGTGTCAGGTGGAGGGCAGCCAAGATGCCTGCACCAGGATCACCGCTGTCACATCACATCCCTAAAAATACATGCATGTTCTCCATCTTTCCTCACTAATTCATCACTGCTGGAAGATGTGAAATTTGCTGTTAATCCATGACACTTATATTTATTCTGGTTGTCTCAGATCCTTATGGACTTTCACGCTGTGATGTCCTCAGACAACAATTCTTATAAAATATTAATGGCATATTTTCTGAATATTACCCATTTATTTGGGTCCTCTAGAGTACTCACTCATGAATGCAGCAAAGGCAAGTATCTGAGCAGAATGTCAATGAGTCTGTTACCTCTGTAATGGGCTTAATTATAGTGGAAGGGATTTATAATATAGGCTATATATTCATACAAACACCCAAAGGTTATTAGCTCCATTCCCTGAGTAATTAGTTATTGTTGAGTCGTTACAACCTTAGCAAATTTAAGGAAGAATAACATTGTAATAAACAAGTTGTTCCCGAGTTATTAGCTGTTATCTAAGGGCCTCTTGTCATTGCGCCTTCTCTCTCACCATTCATAAATGTGATAGAATTTAAATAACACGAGTTTGCCAGCAATTCAAGATCCACCTCCGTTTCAAAACAGGAATCATCAGAAACAACGTAAATGTCAGTGACATGGGTGTACTTGCATATGAGTAAAATGCTTATAAATATCCAATGAAGAAAAATTGAGTCTGATTTAATGTTCTCAAACCAGTAACACTCAGATTATTTACCTCTTTCTCCACCCTTGAGCAAAAGCATTCTAATATTGAGATCAGGTGGAAATAAACCTAAAATAATTCTGCTGTCTCCAAGGAGAATGATAATCTATATTCCATAATTGTATCCTTGCTTCAGCCCAATACTATTTCTTCTTAGAAGTACAACTGACAGACATATTATAGTTGTTCTGATGGGCAAAATACTTCAGATGAGATATTTTCCCCAAAAGGAACCAAGTGAGTTTGTCACTTTAAGATAAACAACTGACAATATTGTTAGTGGTGAAATTTAAGTGTTCAAGCAAAGAGTACAACTATGGAAAAGGAGTATTCTCCACTGTGAGTTTGCCAGCTTTCTAACACTAAGGACTTTTCTGATTCGATCTGTAGTAATACGAAGCAAAATGAAAGTCTGATCTTCTCTTACCAGATAAATTAGTATTTGGACGGGTGCTGGTGGCTCATGCCTATAATCCCAGCTACCCAGAAGGCTGAGAGCTGAAGATGAAGATTCAAAGCCAGCCAGGAGAGAGAAAGTCCATGAGACTCTTATCTCCAATTAACCACCACAAAGCCAGAAGTAGAGTTGTGGCTCAAGTGGTAGAACTCTATTAACCATGAGCAAAAAAGCTCGGGGACAGCACCAAGTTCTGTAGTACTTGAGATGTCTCTGAAACATGTTTATCCTTTTACAGAATCATTTAGATGAGCTCATGAATAAATATGTTTAATTTCTAATATAGTAAATGTTGTTAGTTATTATACATGTGTTATCTTAGAATTCTTAAGAGGCAAACTTTCAAAATGGGGCCAACGTCATGGAGTTCAGGTCCTATTTGTAGCTCTACAATGGACAGTCACTCAATTAAATCAGCCCCTCTGCCTGTTTGCATTGTTCAGAATAGACTTGTCAAAGTCAGTTTCTGCTGCTCCATAGTGTACATTTCCTAAACATTCAACTCTGTGAACGTCTTAGAGGTTCTAAGAACTTTGTCAAATAAGGAATGTCTCAAATTGGAAACTACGGAGCCTACCGCAATATTTATGTCAATTTTTTTCTGCTTCCTGCTTCAAAATGTAATTCAAGTTTGACTCTTAAAATTCAAGCATGCTATTTGTCTGTTTTTAGTCAATTGTAGTCCATTTGCTTTGCAAGCTCATTGGTGAGATGGATAGTCTAGCTGCTTTCAAAACAAAAAGCAAAAACTTTTCCTTAAAATTAGGTTTGCCTTCAGAGTTACTTAACTTGCCAAACACCATTTTTTTTGTAACATGAGGGGGATATTTGAGTGTGAAGAATCACTTATTTAAAAGTAGCTATAATTTACATGACAATGATTATTTTTGTGTTACACCTTATTAAAAATAAGCAACTCTTAATAGATAAATGGTAAAAAGAGATAAAATAATGGGGCATCAATGGGAAATGACAACTATAGTATAACTTTATGGAAAGACTTTCATTAGCAAAAGCAATAAATGGAAATCAAAATAAAAAGAATTATCTCTTGGTAATCTCTTGCCAGACTTGGGGCTTGAACTCAGGGCCTGGGCACTGTCCCTGAGCTTGTTAGCTCAAGGCTGGTGCTGTACCACTTGAGCCACAACTCCACGTATGACTTTTAGAAGTTAATTGGAGGTAAGATTCTCATGGACTTTGATGCTGGGGTTAGTTTCTCACTGGGATCTTTAGATCTCAGCTCTCTCAGGAGTTTGGGTTATATGCCTAAGCCACTGGTGTCTGGCATGAAAAGTGATTTTTAAAACTCATTCTTGCCTGCTAGTGTCTGGTGGTGTCAAGGTTATGGGCAGCCACTGTGTTCATACACTGGTTGTGGTAAATATCCCTTGGTTAAAATATCTTTGCAACTGGGCTGGAAAGGTGACTCAGTGGTAGAGTGCTTACCTTGCATGCATGAGACCTGGGTTTGATTCCTCAGCATCACATAAGCAGAGAAATCCAGTAGTGGAGCTGTGGCTCAAGTGGTAGAATGCTAGCCTTGAGCTAAAGAGCTGAGGGACAGAACCCAGGCCCAGAGTTCAGGCCCCATGACCACCACCAACAAATATATATATATATATATGTATATGTATATATACATATATATATATTTGCAGCTATCCAAAGTCATTGTATTCATGTCCATCAGTGGAAATTTACTGTAAGGTGATAATTCAATAGAAGAGAAACCCATATGTTCAAAGAGATCAGTTGAAATACATGTCACCTGGAAAGACAGATATGGCAAACAAGGTCCAACAACAAGATAATTGTCTAACAAATGACAGCGTACTGATGGGAAGAAACAATGTACAAAGCAGTTCGTTAGTTGTAATGTCTCCATGTAAGCATGCAGAAATATACAATGAACTTTTGAAATGATGCGACTAAGTAAAAAGGTCATCACACCATTAAAGTCTGAATAGACGCAGCATGAACATTTTTCTCCTGCTTTAAAAACTATTTGTAATTATGGAATGAAGTAAAAAATGAATGCCTATGGCAACATGATCTAATGACCATACCTTCATTCAAAGTAAATATATTTTTCAAAGAGGAAGTCAGATATGTTATATAATTTTCACTCTAGTATCACCTTTTTATTACCAACATAGAAAGCACAGTTAACCTGTGCCTCTCATAACCCAAGTAACCTTGTCCACTTTTGGAGAAACTTATTGTTTAAGTATGCATTTTAAAATTTAGTTCAACAGGTTCCAACAATCACAAAACAGTCAAGAGAACAAGTCGCCTTTCCCTTTGACGAGTATTTTCAAATTGAATGTGAAGCTAAAGGAAATCCAGAACCAACGTGAGTGTTCTTCAAACTACTAAATACTCTAACCATATGCTATCATTGATAGTATTTAAAAATCTGAAAAAAAAACTTGTTGGACTCTAAATCTACATTTGATTAAAGCTCCAGGTTACCAAGTGAAAGAGAGCTTTGTGTGTAAAATTAACATTGAGTTATTTAACCTATGTTGCATAAGGTTTTCTGTACCTATAGAATGGATATTTCATACTGGTGTCGGCATTGAACTACATGTTTTTCTGGAATGCAATTCTGTAATATTTACCAACAACCATAAAAATGTATTCCAATATTAGTCTACTGAATTGAAATGGATAAGTTAATAAAATAGCAAACAGAATAGAAAATGATGCAGTCAAAAGGATTTTATTTAGTACCAATTTAAAACTGGAAAAATATTGACAAATTATATATTTGGTACATATTTGGTATATATTTCAAATGCTTGACAAGGTTGTTTAAAAATAGCAGTGCTTTGTGATTTTGATTTGCATGAGTGCATTAGACCACACACACACACACACACACACACACACACACACACAGAGAATATTATATATTTACCTTTATTCCAGCCTCAAGATAAAATCAGAAATAATCCTGCCATGCGTTTCTAAGAAAAAATAAATAATTTTCAAAGTTATTCTAGGCTCACACCTAGAACCCTAGCTACTTAAGAGGCTGAGATCTGAGGCTAGCAGTTAGAAGCCATCCTGGGCAGAAAAGTCTATAATATAAGACTCTTATATCCAAATGTCAACACCAACCTCCCCCTCTACCCCCCAGCCACTGGCAAATAGCAGAAATAGAGCTGTGGCTCAAATGGTAAAGCACTGGCCTTGAGCAAAAAAGTTCAGGGCCCACCCAGGCCAGGCCAGGAAGGACAAAAAAGAGAGAAAGAGAGAATGACAGAACCAGAGAAAGAATGAAAGAAAGAAAAAAAAGAAAGAGAAAGAAAGAAAGAGAGAGAGGTAGGGAGGGAGGGAGAAAGAAAGGGAGGGGAAGGAGGGAGAAAGAAAGAAAGAGAGGAAGGAGGGAGATAAAGAAACAAAGAAAGAAAGAGAGAAAGAAAGAAAGAAAGAGAGAAAGAGAGAAATGGAGGAAGGAAGGAGGGAAGGAAGGAAGGAAGGAAGGGAGGGAGGGAGGGAGGGAGGGAGGGAGGGAGGGAGAGAAGAAAGAGGAAGGAAGGATGGAAGGAAGGAAAGAAACAAAACATACCTTCAAATATATTCTTATTTACAACCTTATTCAAAGTTTTATTCTTACTGATTTTTTTACAGTTTGGAAGATTCTTCAGAGATCTTTTCTAATAATATTAAACATTCTATTGTGTACATTTCTTAAAATAAATTATTTTGGTTTGCCATTTTGTACATTTGTCAGTATTTCTGTGGTTAAAAATAATGTTCTTTTTGTGGGATGAATTTGCTTTTTTTCTTGCAGGTTTAGATGGACTAAAGATGACAAGCCTTTCCATCTTTCTGATCCCCGGATAATTGTGTCTAACGGCTCAGGCACATTCAAGATCCCAAATGAAGGACACGTATCTCACTTTCAAGGCAAATACCGCTGCTTTGCTTCTAACACCCTAGGAGTTGCCATGTCAGAGGAAATCGATTTTATAGTCCCAAGTAAGTATTAGAATGGAGATGTTGTTTTACAATTCTTTTAGAAAATACTAAACTAGTCTCTGAATTTTAAACAAAATGTCTATAAATTAAATCAGCCTTTATATTTATTTTATTTTATTTTTAAGGACAATTCTAGGTCTTGGAACTTAAAATTTGGACATCCTTTGAAAATGGCATGTTTTGGAAGTAGAGATCTGGCATAAGTGATAGAATGCCAGCCTTGAAAGAAAAGGCAAAGCAAAAGCTTAAAGCCCTGAATTCTAGCCCCAGTACTAGCCAAAGAAAGGAAAGAGAGAAAATGAAGAAAGAATGAGGAAGAGGAGGAGGAGGAGGAGGAGGAGAAGGAGGAGGAGGAAGAAGAAGGAAGGAACAGAGGAAAGAAGGAAGGGAGGGAGGAAAGGAGAGAGGTAGGAAGAAAGACAGCATATATCCAGCTTTCTACTTCATATTGTATTTTTAAAAGAATTTTAAATGGGCCCGGCGCCGATGGCTCACGCCTGTAATCCTAGCTACTCAGGAGGCTGAGATCTGAGGATCGCGGTTCAAAGCCAGCCCAGGCAGGAAAGTCCATGAAACTCTTATCTCCAATAAACCACTAGAAAACCAGAAGTGGCACTGTAGCTCAAGTGGTAGAGTGCTTGCCTTGAGCTGAAGAGCTGAGGGACAGTGCTCAGGCCCAGAGTTCAAGCCCCACAACCAAAAAAAAAAAGAATTTTAAATGGATAAAAGACCTCACTCTGAATGAGAAAATACCTTTTATTTTTTAAATTAGAAGATTGAAACATTGATTATGATAATGAGTGCATTTATGACCCCAGGGAAATGTCTAAACTCATACTGAACAGGAACTCATTAGCAATTTATTTGACTATATTTTATTTTTGATTATTTGCCAAAATGTTTTATAAAGAAAATAAAAGGTAAGATACATCTCAGAAATCATCGATAAAGCCAATTATTAAAATCTCACATATTTATCAATATATTTGGAAGTGATAAAAAAGCTTTAAAATGACAAAGTAGCAAAATATATAAACTTTAACCTTAAACTGGAATGGTCAATAAGAATGTACAAATGTGTTTAGCATCATTAGTAATCAGAAATAGACCAATGGTAACCCAAATAAGAAAAGCGTTTGTTCTTATGTAATGGGGAGTTATTGTACCTGAGAATAGCAGATTCAGAGGAAATATGAAGATACCCTAGCTCCGAGCTAGCACTGATGGTTTATTTTACTTATTTTATTTTACTTTATTTTACCTTAACTTCCTTAAAGACAAGCTTAGGTGTGATCCATTTGCTCTGATGTTCTTTAGCCTACACACGTTAAGATTATTTGCTCATGGTAGACAGGCATACATATTTTGGTTTATTCATGAAGAAAATACCATTAGCTTTGAAAAAGATATTGAACCATAAAAAACAAATCTTGGCGAAATACCACACCATGTAATAAAATATTGGTTAGGATTATAATTTTAGATGGTAAATGTTTAGTGAAACAAGCATGCTCAATGGAATATTCAGGAGAATAATTACCTTTAATGCAAGAAGGAGGGACCAAGGTCAGCTCCAGACAGAAGGGTTGTAAGACAGTCACCCTATAACCGGTGGGTGATGTGTTGAAAGGGTTTTAGTTGGAGGATGTCTTTGAATCTTTTAAATTTCTTTTATAAATGGCTTTTGCATAGACTCAAAATTATTAAGAACACTACATAATGATTCATCTAAAGTAGATATTCTGACTTAATGAGATATTGTACCAATGTCAGTGAGAAGTAGCAGGTGCACTTGGAGACTCATACTGGGGTTCTAAACTTGAAATGATATTCAGAACAAACTGTCTGTGGCTTTTAAATCAGACAGTATTGTCCTGACAATTATGGGTGAGTCTGTATAGTTCTGCAGTCAGGTCTCTCTATCCAAGGGTTATGAATAAGGGGATCGCTCCTTAGATGGAAAATGTTTGAAAATAAAGATGGCATGCTGTTGTGAGATGTACACAGTACAACAGCTAGTCACATGGCTTTATTTGAATTGTATTAGCTGCTACAAGCAGTCTTGAGATAACTTAAAGTCTATAGGAGAACATGCCAAGTTATAGGTAAATATTATATCTGTTTTGATAAGGAACTTGAGCATTGCAGTTTTTGCATTCCCTAGGAGGGGTGGGAGTGGTCCTAAACACATTCCTGTGGATACTTGAGGACAATTGTCTGTGTGTATGTATGTATCTATAGAAAGATGATAAATGGGATACATGATAAAGACAGACAGACAGACAAGTAGATAGATAGATAGATAGATAGATAGATAGATAGATAGATAGATAGATAGATAGATAGATAGATAGATAGAGAGAGAGAGAGATAGAGAGAGAGAGAGAGAGAGATAGGTAGTAGAAATAAGTTGAGATTTGAACTATGAAAGAAAGCAATTTTAAGTATCTAGTGTGGTAGAAATATTAGGGTGATCTCTAACATGGATGCTGGTTGTTGCTATTGGGACACAAAGAAAAAGGTAGCTAAATTTATTGCAGAGCCCCCAAAAGTATGTTTTTTAATTAAAAAAACAAATTTTTGAAAAATAATATTTTTTTCTCTTTTCTTTCATTACATATCCAGACTAGATGAAAAGATGAGCAACATAAAGATAATTCTGGGCAGACTATGACAGTACTGAAGTTAAGAGCTGAGCTATGTAGTGGGTGATTGCTTTGTTTAGTTCTGCTGCAGTAGAGAAGAGTGACCTCAGTTAGGTTTCTTATGCATTGTTTTCAGTCTCTCCTGAAATTACTCCATCACCTGAGAGCTTCCCATTACCCCATGTGTGTTGAATAGGATCACCAGCCCAAGCCTCAGGAGTTGGCAAATCTGACTCTTATCTAAAGCTTCCTAAAACCCTTAACAATTGTTTCTTCCCTTCAAAGAATTGATTCTCCTTTCCCACTGTCAGAAATGTATCGTTCTTGTTTTAGACTTTTTGTTACTCAGCCCTGACTGGGTTATTATTTTCTATAAGCTGAAACTTTTACACACCATGTTTAGTTTTCTTTTTCAACAATATTGCCATTGAATTAGCTAGGGGGAAAGCGAGTGTGTATCGGGGGATACCCTCTACCCTAGGCTAGGGTCCATGGACTTTCTGCCTCCTTACATTGTCTTTTGTTGATGTTTGCTATCTAAGGATTCATGTGATGTACAACCCTTTTCATGCCCGAGTTTTACTTAGAGTGTTTTTGAGATCTGTCCACACTCTTACACCTATCAGCCTGCCCTTTCTTTTTGTGCCTTAGTACTTTGCCTTTATGTGGATACACTATTTTTTAAAATTCATCCTTAAGTCAATGACAGTGTGAAATATTTTTTTTTTATTTTGTCAGTTATGGGGCTTGAACTCTGAGCCTGGGTGCTGGTCCTCAGCTCTTCAGTTCAAGGCTAGTGCTCTATCACTTGACCCACAGTGCCACTTCCAGTTTTCTCAGTGGCTTATTGAAGATAAGAGTCTCAAGGCCTTTCCTGCCTGGGCTGGCTTTGAACAATGATCCTCAGAACTCAGCCTCCTGAGTAGCTAGGATTTCAGGCACTAGCCACCAGGCCCGGCTAGTTAGAAACATTTCTACCTTGGGAGTTTATTAAAAATAATACTGTTGTATATTGTTGGTAGTTTATGAAGCATTTAATGGTATGCTGTTGTGATTGTCATAGATATTAATTAAGACCCTTGAAATGAGAAAGATTTTGTGGTGTTATATCTCTCCTCCTCTGCATTGTCTATTGAAGGGTGAGTCCCTATGGGCACACCCATAATCCTCTCTACACAGGACCTAAGGATCCAGATTCCAAGCCTGCCCAGCAAGGCCCTGAAACACTTATCTCCAACTAATCTCAAAACAGCCCGAAGTGAAGCTATGGCTCAAGTGATAGAGTGGTAGCTTTGAGCAAAAAAAGCTTTGGACCACTCAGGCCCTAAGCTCAAGCATAGAACCAGCACACACACACATACACATACATGTGCGTGCACGCGTACACACACACACACACACACCATATGATCAGTAGTTGATTTATTGCACAAAGCTATGACTAAAAGAATAAATGATTTCTAAATAGTACTGAAATAAGTGGTAAGCTTGGGGATGTGTATGTGATATTTTAAGGAAAACCACTTGGGATTATGAATGTGACAAGTCTCTACTTTCTTCTACTTCCAAATTCCTCAGGACACTTTTCTTGAAATAAATCCTAGCTTGTTCCCATTCTGATTTGAGAGGCTAGGGCAGGAAAGGGAACAGGGCTTTATGACTAAGTTCTTCTACTGAAGAAGATCTGTGTCCGGCTCGGCGTACAACTGTGCATTTCAAAGGTTTCATCAAGGCTGAGGATTTTGCACTCAATAGAGTATGGAGATGGCTGAAAGGAAATGGGCTGATTTGTATCTCTTTCCTTAGCACAAATTCATTACAGGCTCAAGGACTGAGAGGCAGTGTTATTTCTCTGTAGTCCTAAGTGGATTAATAGGGAACTCTACAGGAAATGGGAATCAATTAATTCTCTGTACAGTAGGAAGCTGGAGTTATGGGGTAATACAACATGTGAGCATTCTTGATAATGATAGAAGGCTGAAAGCAATTTGCCAAGCACATTCAAGTGAAATGTGAGGCACTCAAAAGCTCACCAGGCCAGCCTTATAAACAGAGCAACAAGTCATAGTAGATAAAGCTCTCTGACACCGGAAGCTTAGTCCAATCATGCAGTGTGTGTGTGTGTGTGTGTGTGTGTGTGTGTGTGTGTGTGTCGGGAGGGAACTTAACTTAATTAACATATACCATTTATACTTGAAGCACAGTGTTTCCTTCCATCTGCCCTCTATCTCGTAAATATATCCCACGTATTTGCATTAAATTCCAAAATAAATTGTTGAGATATAAATTACAGGGAAAATTGGGGGCAGCAGAAGAATGAAATTATCTCATTGTGTGTGTGTGCGTGCATGTGTGTGCGGGTGTACGCACTCATGCGCACGTGCGTGAGCCCATGCACTCACATATGCATGCACACATCTGAAGGCTAGGTCTGAGGCTTGAACTCAGGGCCCCAGCACTATCAGTTCCATTTCTGCCGTCCCCCCACATTTACAAAAGTTCATTGGAGATAAGAGTCTCCTGAACTTTCCTGCTCAGGCTGCCTTTGAACCTCGATCACAGCCTACTGAATGGTTAGGATTACAGGCATGAAGAGCCACCAGTGTCTGGACTTATCTCATTTAGTTTTTTAAACATGTGATGCTTTTATATTAAGCAAACTTGAAGTATTTGAATGGTAGTAGCCAGTACAGATTGAGTACTTTGTAAGTTTCAGCCACCATTTTCATTGGTTCACTGGAAATACTGTATTTAAACTTGGCTACAAACCAATGAGATAGGTAGACATCATTACACTTCCATGGTATGGATGAGTATCCTATCACATTATCTAACAAGTCCAAGTTCAAGTAGTAAGAAACGAAACCAGGATTCAGTCCCCAGTGGCTGAATCTAGATTTCATGTGAATAACACGAAGCTGAATGGTACTGCCTGTAATTGGTTATCCTCTAAATAGGCAGAGAAATGCTTGAAGTTGAGTAGCAGAATCAAAAAGGTATGGGAATATTGATTTTGTTCCGTTAGTGCTAGAGAAAGGTAATCTATGTGCTTCATAACTTCCTAGTGGTTAAAGCACAAGTTATGTTTATACTGGAGTGGTGAATTTCCTGAATGCTATTTAATTATATTAACCTGATGCCATTTCATTACTGATTTTCACAGTTTGAGTTTTATGATTCACTACCATTAGAAAGATTCTGACCCCGGGGAAGCTTTTGAGAATCTTAAGAAATATAGAGGATTCTACAATGTCAATTTATTTATTTATTTTTATCAGTCGTGGGGCCTGAACTCTGGGCCTGGGCACTGTCCCTCAGCTCTTCAGCTCAAGGCTAGCACACTGCTACTTGAGCCACAACGCCATTTTTCTGCTTTAGTTTTTCTGCCTATGTGGCGCTGAGGAATTGAACCCAGGGCCTCATGCATGCGAGGCAAGTGCTCTACCACTGAGCATCCTCCTAGCCCATTTTTTTTTTTTAAAGGAACAGGGAGAGATGAGGAGAGTAATGAAAGGGGTGACATTGATTAAGAGACATTGGACTCACACACTGACATGGTAGATGGCACCCCTTGTATAACTACTTAAAGATAACAAAATATAATAAAAATATTAAAAGGACACATGGAAAGGTAAGGAAATTATTTACAATATACATACCCAGGGGGGTTCAATGTGAGATTGAACTCAGACTACCCCACAGTATAGTTTCTAGGTAGAGTTTTGTTGTTGTTGTTGTTGTTGATAGAAGTCTTCATCATGAAGATGTCAACTTTGCTGAATGTTAGACTGGAAGAAGAGAGGTTTTGAACATTGACCGCCCCTGAGGAGATCCAGGGGACTTTGTATTTGCAGCTTCACTGGGTCTAGCACCCTCTGCTGATAAAACATGTTGTGCAGCTAAGGCCTCCAGGAAAAATTTTTCACACTAGATTCTAACTGGGGGTTGGAGATGGAGTTTTCAAGAAGCGAAGCATAAATACATAGTTTTGGAATGTGAATAGTAGACACGAAGGAGAATAGGAGGACAGGGAAGTTGGTGTTGTGCTTGATTTGCTGGTGCAAATAGAATGGCAATGAGCTCACATAGAAAAAAAAGGAGTGGACTTCAATTAGATTGGGTTGTAATGGAACCACTGAACATTCTTAGAGTTTCGGTGGGTAGAAAGGAATATGTCAGTAAATTCTGATCCTTTTGAAGAGAGTGACCCAGGGTCAAGTTCATTCTTGTTAAAAATATAGTTCAGTGATTGTTTATCCTTGTGCCAGTAGTCAGGCTTGAACTCCAGGCCTCTACTCTAACTTGGCTTTTCCTCTGTAGACTGGAGCTAGTCTAATATTTAGGCCTATGTTGACATTTTGCTGGTTAATTGGAGATAAAGGTCTCAGGGACTTTGGCCTTGAACCTTGTTTTTCAGAGTTCAGCCTCATGAGTAGCTAGGATTATAATTGTGGGCTACTGGTGCCCAAGTAATTGTTTCTTTGTGATGTTTGATTGTCTTTTAGAAATATGTTGGTAAGCCAATGGTATATAGTTGCCTCACATGGACACAAATCATCATTTATTATTAAAAACCACTACATCTGTCCACACTAAATAAGGCTGATGTTTATCATAAAAAAGAGTTAGTAAAATAATCTGGTTAGAATTTTTTTTAGATAACATCTTTTCTTTATTTCAGTTGAAATTGACTGCATACCTGCTATGCTGTTATAGTAATTAAAATTAGCGGTTATCTGGAAATGTTAAAAATTTGTTTCTAGAATAGAAGCAGACTAAGGCATTCCAAAGTCAAGAGAATAAGACCTAAATAATTGTGACAAATTAATTTATTGTATAATATTAATTATAATTATAATGTAAAATTAATATCTTGTATAATATTAATCTTAGATTAATAAATATATAAATGCCCTTACCTATTTCCTGATCTTAATTACATCTTTAGCTAACTATTCCAAAGATTTATAGCATGTGTTACAGACTTATAGAATTCCTTTTCTTTTATTATGCCTCAGAAACCTGTTGAATTACATATTTATATATTCATAGCTAGAATTTTATGATGTACATTTAATTAATGTTGGGGTAATAGTGCTTCACTGGCATTGTTATCTCTGTGAATCATTAGATTATTTTTTTCTTCAAGTTCTGAGAGAACAGTTCTCAAATTAAGTTTTGATATATCTTATTAGTTATGTCTTTTAGCTACAGCAATATATATTGGTTATCTCTTTCATATCTAGCTATAGATATTATCCAGTGAGCTGTGAGTTCACATTAAATACTGTAGAGTTTGCATACTATAGAGTGGAAATGCAGAGCCATTCCATTCTCTTTTCTGTTTCCTTCCTCTGTTTCTTTTATCCTTTGTTTCTTTTATCACCCAGCCACTATGTTGTCTTTACTAGTATGTTCTGGGTTTCATTTACAACAACTTTACATGTGATTTGAATTTGGATGTCTGAGCACATAATATGTGTGATATATGTGTGGGGGGGGGGGGGGATGGCACTAGGGCTTGAACTCAAAACCTTGGAGCTTCCCCTCAGTGCTGACATTCTACTACTTGAGCCACAACTCCACTCCTGGTGTTTTGGTAATTAATTGGAGGTAAAAATCTCATGGACTTTTCTGCCCAAGATGGCTTCAAATCAATCCTAATATCTCCGCCACCCGAGTAGCAGGTGTAGGTCATCCGTATCCAGCTGTATTTCTTTATGAGTTACTACATCTTATTTTATACCACCTCTTTTCTGGAAAATGACTTAGGTAACATTTCTCTCAATCCAAACATGGGTTTTACAAAATAGCTCACATGGTATTTTATCATGGTATTTGTCATGTGGTGAACAAACTAAACGTATGTTTCTGACTTTTCATAGAAACCATATGTTACAGAAAAGGTATGATTCAGGGAAGATTGCCATTTTGAGCATGTTTTCAGATTTCCAGAGGAAATCTGATAGAAACCAGTGGACCAGGAGGGAATCCACAGAGAGCCAGTCATGCGCGGCATGCGTACAGATAAGCCTGCCTTCCCGAACTGCTGAGAGGCTGCAGCCACCACATGGCTTCCTGCGCTTTGGAGCTTTGAAAGGTCCTTGAATTTAGACAAAAAGCAATTTATAGTAACCAGCTGGTGTGTCTGTAGAAGAAATGTCAGCAAATTCCCTCAACTACTGTAAGAATGGGGTGGAGGATGAGGGGCTTAGGAACACATAAGAAATGCACAAAGAGGCTCAGAAGAAATTGTGCTGTAAAGGAGCAGACCTTTAGACTTCCAAGAATAAAATGGTAGTGTATCATGAGCCTCAGGTTCAGAATATAATGGAATACTGAAATGGAATACTGGCTAATAAATCCAATCAGATCAGGATGCTTATAAATATCTTTTTTTATAAGCTCATGACTCTCAGTACTAGCCTACAGAGTTTGAAAATGAAAATAACCCCCTCAACAAAAATGTTAAACAGCCATATACTGTTCAGGCTGAATGAAGTTTTTATATCCTCATAAATATAAATACTTCTGTAAGAATATTAATCACTGGTGTCGGAGTTCTAATTCTGTGTTGCTCTTTTATAGCCTTGGCTCATGTATGAGAAGCAAACAGATTTAAATATTGGAGAATTTTCTTTCATATACCAATTCCATTTCATCTAAAATTATATTTATGCTGCTGGTTCTCTTTGCAATTTACAGTAGTCATGTTTGGCTTTTCACTGGACACGTATCAATTTTCTCAATGTAGGGGTTTGAATTTTTTATTTAGCGTAGTTAATTCTCTGAACAGATATCTGCCAATCACATTTAAGACCTTTGCAGTGAACAGCAGATAGGGCATATAAAACTCAACGGTATTTGGGGAACAGATGATTATTTTTCTCTTTGAAAACTAAAATAAGCAAATCCTGTGACTTACACCTCGGCCTGGAAAAAAAAATATGCACAAGTGTATTTTTGTCTTATTGATGTCACACCGCAACAATCTTTTTTGGTCTACGATTGAAGCATTTTAAAATTATATAAGCATGCACATCCGTTTCTTAAAAGTGTTTTAACCTCTGCGGGGGGAGGGGGGGATGAATGAGCCGAGCCATGGCCCATGGTGTTGAATTTCTTTAAAAATATTCCATTATTTTTAAAAGCATATTCGTGACTGGTAATACCATAGAAGGTGCTGTGGCATTACGTGCTCACTTGAAATGATGTCTTAAAAATTATCTTCGCACCAGGTGTTCCGAAATTCCCCAAAGAAAAAATCGATCCCTTGGAAGTGGAAGAAGGTGACCCCATTGTCCTTCGCTGCAATCCGCCCAAAGGCTTACCCCCGCTGCACGTTTACTGGATGAATATTGGTAAGGAATGCCGCACCCCATTGACAAGAGTGCAGATTAATTGCATGTAGAGTAAAAGAAGGATGCCAAATGTAAATTTTTCTCATAAGCGTATTCCTGCAGACTCAAACAGGTTACTTCAAAACAGACAAATTCAAAAGTCTGCCCTGGGTCCTAAGTATAAACTAAAGTGCAAATGGGGAAACATTTAGACAAACCACTAAAGCTATCTCTTGATCTTATTACATTTGAAAAGGTAAGAATCGGTCTGCGAAGACTGGACTTTCTATATTCCAATTAATTGCCTTTTGGGATATAGGTCATGTTTGAATTGAGACTGGCTTGTGTTTGGGTTGCTAACTTAGTATTTCTGTTGTAAGTATATTCTACCTGCCAAATGAACAGATGCACAAACAAATTAGTGTTAACCTTTGTGCTGGATTTTCCAAGAAGCTTTCCCGACATAAATTCCAGGGTTTCGCCCTCTCCTTCTCCCTTTCCTTCTCCTTCTCCCCTTTCCCCCCTCCTCTCCCTCCTCTTTCCCTCCCTCCCTCCCTCCCTTCCTCCCTTCCTGCCTTCCTGCCTGCCTGCCTGCCTGCCTGCCTGCCTTCCTGCCTTCCTGCCTTCCTTTTTTGGTGCAGGTACTGTACTAGAGATTGAATTCAGTGCTTGGACCTGAGCACTGTCCCTTAGCTTTTTCACTCAAAGCTGCCATCCTAACACTTGAGGTACAATCCACTTCTGGCTTTGGAGATAAGTCTCTCAGACTTTTCTGTCTGGACTGGCTTCCAACTGTGAACCTCATATTTCAGACTGCTAAGTAGTTAGGGTTACAGTGTGAGCCAGTAGTGTCTGGCACAAATCCCAGTTTTCTGTAAAGCCCTCTTCTAGCATTGCTTTAGCTCCCTAGATATTTTCTCACTATGTCCCACATAGGAAAGCTATGTATATATATATATATATATATTTTTTTTTTCAAAATAAAGCAAATGAAGCTGCTTTTGGCTGAAGCCAAAATTGCAAACTCCAATCACTCTAGCATCTCTCGGGTTGCACTGGGACAGCATTGTATATATCCCCTTTCAGTAGCACTGTTTCAAAGAAATAGCATACCCCCATCCCTCCAAAAATAAAAGAATATTCAATCATTATCCGACTTGACTGGTTTTCCTATAGGTCAGTGCAGACTTGGAGCAGAAGTAAAGATCTAAAAAGACACACAATGTCCAAGTGCTCGACCGTCAGTGGCAGCTTTGCTCATGAGTTCCTAGTTCCTTGTCTTTATTTATTTACTTAATTTTTATTGTTTATTATAAAGGTGATGTAGAGAGGGTTTACAATTGCATAGGTCAGGTAGAATACATTTTGTTTGGACAATGTCACCCCTTCCCTTGCTCCTTCTCAGTTTTCCCCTCCTATCCCCACCTAGGAGCTGTGTAGTTCATTTCTTATTTTAAAATACTTGCCTATTCATTACTCTTTTAGCATTACCAAATTTGAGAGGAATAGGAGAAGAGAAGAAAAAAATCAAATAAGGTGAAATAACCTAAAGGGATTAAAAATGAATGAATGGAAAAAAATATCTTGTAGGGGACAAAGGCCCCTCACAATCACTCGATATTTCCTTCCAGAATTAGAACACATTGAGCAAGATGAACGAGTCTACATGAGCCAAGATGGGGATCTGTACTTCGCCAATGTGGAAGAAAAAGACAGTCGGAATGACTATTGTTGCTTTGCTGCATTTCCAAGATTGAGGACGATCGTACAAAAGATGCCAATGAAATTAACAGTGAACAGTTGTAAGTCCAAATCATGTATCAATCTGTCTTGCATGCTGAATGCAAATGTGTGTGTGTGTGTGTGTGTGTGTGTAATTTCATCCTGGCAGGAGCCATTTAGATCAGGGTTGGTATTTTCTGTGATTATTTCATTCAACTCCAGAGACTTCATCCAGATGAACAGAACATCTGCATGTGCAGATCAACCGTAGCTCTTTTTCTGCAGCCGGGGAGGGTGGGGGGGGGGGGGGGAATCTCAATTCACAGTACAAGTGTCTTTCATTTGATATATGCAGGATCTAGTCAGTTTTCCCTGGGTGAAACACACAATGAAATTCCTGGATTTTCTAAAGCAAGATGACAGCATTGATTCACTGCGACCTTGCATAACGTGGCAGGCCGGAGATGGGAGACCAAACAGTAGAGTCGAAAATAAGAGAATCAGGATTAACATTTTTAGCAAGCGTTTTTTTTTTTTTTCTTTGTCCTTCCTAAATTGGCAAAGTTATTCCAACTGATTCTGTTTCCTATTTGTTTCTGGGTTCCCAAATGGGAAAGAGTAATTAGTGGGAGGAGGAACATAAGACTCAAAAGGAAGAGATAATCCACAATCATTTTACAGGCTGAATACTTGGCTTTGGAATTGTGGAGAGCTGGCATGACCATTTTATTGTCTGATGTGGTCTGTATTTCGTGGGTTTTTTTCATTATTGTATGTAGAATCATACTGCCATGCCTTCACCTGAATCCTTTCCACCTGTACTCATCCATGGGAATTCCAGAATTAGCTCTTCATAATTTCTTCTGTGCTAAACCATATTCCCATAACCATGTGAGAGGGGAACCATGTTCTACCCCATTCTGTAATTTCCTGCAAAGACATGACTGTTCATTTTTTATTAATAGCAGCATGTACCATTATGTTTGTGTTGTTTTTCTTCCATTTGTTTTTTATTTCAGTAAAGCATGCTAATGAGTCAAGTTCATCCACAGAAATTAATTCCAAGGGTAAGTTAAGCAGTGCAAAGAATTAGTATTAATTTTTACCTTAATACTTATTCAGAGATCACACCTCAAAATATGAATGTTTCCTTTGTTACCTTTATGAATTTATTACAATGCTAGCATTCCTAATTAAAAAAAGCTGATTACCATGGAGTTTTTTATTGTCGTCTTAAGTGCATGCAAAAAAACCTGAATTTTACATATTCATAACTATAAAAATATAAAATAGTTAAATATTATTATAATATACTAATACATTATGTTAAATATAAAATTATTAAATTATATTTATAACTATATAGATATAATGACATTTAATTAGAATTATGTAGCACATTATTTTGTATCACTATATTATTATAATTCTATAATATCACATAATTTATTAAGATGCATAGATACAGATGTAGGAATTTAAAATAATTTTACTTTCATTTTTGATCATTTCTTTTTTAAAAAATATTATCTTTATGTAATTGTTCCAAGGAGTTTCAATTAAACATTTCCATTCATTAGTACGATACATCTTGATCAATGTCACCTCTTTGCTTGTTCTCTGCCAATCTCTTTCAAACCCTATCCCGTCAATTTACCTGGTCCCATTTTCACACATGTACATTGAATAATATGACCATGTTATCTTGGGTTTTCTAATGCATCTTTTGTACTACATTAGATGGATAGCTTCATATGAAGCAAATAAAAAGAAATACTTAAGGGTCAAGAGAAGTAGGAAAACACTGAATTTAAGAAAATTAAATGAATATCTTTCTCACAAGACTTGTTAGAATAGCTAATAGACCATGATGCATTGCGATTCTCTGGAGAAGACTAGAGTTTTGCGGTGTTTTTTCAGTTTGCTTGTCTGTGAGACCTTTCTTGTTTCATTTATTTTAACCATAGAACACCTGTTAGAGTTAGTGCTTTAGGTAAGAGGTCTATGTAATATGAATTATGTAACAGGCTATTTTCTGTAGTGAGGGCAATCTTGTCATGTGGACCTACAACTTCAATTTTTTGATGCATGGGTGACATCAGGAGAAATAAATCAGAGCTATCCTTTTTGGCTATCCTCAGCCTTAAGTTACCTCATGTTTCCCAGACATCATTTTCTCTGGGGTCAACGCCTCAGGCTTATACACTTTCTTTACAGCATCCAATAAAAACCACTGTGTGTAGTCAATGGCCAACAGTGATTTCTCGCTGTGTCAATACTTGTAAAAAGCACATAGAAAAGCAAACACTGTTTCCAGCCCCTGACAGTTCCTTCTTCTGATAGTACAGAATGACAACTATTTATTTCCATTCCATAGAAAGTCAAATTGCATTGGTATCGGATAAGAACAGAAGCAATGCATGCTTAGCATTTGGAAATAAAATAAAAATTAGCAGTGGATATTGCAGTCTTCTCATCTGTAAAAATTATGTTTTTTTTTAAAAAAAGGAGAAAAAATAGATTAGGTCCATTTGCAGTTAGTAAGAATGTTTACTAGCTATTTCCTAATACGGGTTTTATGTTTGATAGTTCCTGAGGCTGTGAGTCGTTTCCGGAGGACACTGATTTCTTCAGTCAGAGTTTCTCCATTATAAACCCAGGAAACTGTGTTTTTTTTTTTTTACTAGGAACCTTAGCAAACACATAGGCACATTAAATAAAAGGAAGACAAATGGCCACCACACCTGACAAAGCCTGATAAACGTGTAGCATATAAAATTCACAGATTCCTAGCTTAAGTGTTTCATCAAGAAGTTACTTACCTTCAATCTATTCACCATGATAACCTTTATGAAATAATTAGTTAACAAATCTGAGGCACAACTCATGCTTCACGGAAAGACAGAAGAGCAGTCTAAATCGAAATGCATACAGATGTATGTCTATGCCCACATGGACATACATGTTTGGAGACAGATGCAGCATACAGAATTTCCACTACCCCTGTTTGGAAAAGGCCCAACCTTTCCATTCCTCTCCATAGCCAATTCAATCAAGCAGAGGAAGCCCAGACTGCTGCTGCCTCCTCCTGAGAGAGGCGACTCATCTTCTATGACCATCCTCAAAGGAGACACGCTGTTGCTGGAGTGCTTCGCGGAGGGCCTGTGAGTAGCCAGACCCCTGCTTGCTCATGGCTTTGTATCCTGGTTTTCGAATGGGCCACGTTCACATCTTCAAATGTCTTTCTTTTTCTAAGTGACAAGTCCTTCCAGAGGAAGACACTTGTACGGAGACATCAGGACAGGACTAAAATGGACTTCTAATTCACTGCCTCTGTCTCTGGGATAGGGTGGGATCTCCTTAATGGAGTCAGTCGTGGAAGTCAATGCTGGCCTTGGAGTACGAGTGTGTTGATAGACCACCCAGCTTTTCCCTTTTCTCCCCATATCTTGTGCTACTTCTACTTGCTATAGGACCAGCTCTGCTCCTTTCTCATTTACCTCATGTTTCACCCTGTTGTCTTCATACACAAGAGAGTTTCACATCAAAACCTGCTTAACTGAACCGCCCTCACAGTGTACTTTCCCAGTGCCTACATGAAATCACCAACAGCCCTCTCTCAGTCATCTTTCTCCTTCTCTCTTTTCCTTTTCTCTCTCTTTTCTGGCCACTGCTACTCTCCCCAGTGCTGGAGTTTGAACTTAGACCCCAGGCTTGCTAAACAGGCACCCTGCCACTTAAGCTACATGTCAGGCCCCTATCTGCTTGGGTTATTTTCAAAGTTCATCTCACTTTAGGCTCAGCCAGTCTAGACTGTAATCCTCCTACTCATGTTTCCCCAAGTCAGTGGGATAACACGCAGGCACAACCCATCTCCCCAGAAAAGCCATTATTTGAAATGGATTCTGGAGAATTCCCTTTTGCTTATGCTGGCCCTGAATCATGATCTCCCAGTATCCACCTCCTAAGCAGCCAGGATTATAGGCTTGAGTCACCAGGCTTGGTTGTCATTTGGTCATTTCTTGACATTGTTGTATTTATTGGGAGACTACTGTAAGCCTATGTAAACTGATGCTGTCTTATTTCATAATTTGGTCATTTTGTCATCTGCTTTTTACCATTACCCCTCTGAACTAACAATCCTTCCATACCATCCAAGACACCATGGAGACTGACATGAAAAAGAGAATTCCATATCCCTAGCAATCAAGTTTATCCATTTGAGCCATAATCAACTTATAAGCTCATGGGCATTTGGGTGTCTGTTTGTATATTTATTTGTCAGTTGTGGGGCTTGAACTCAGGCTCTGGGCCCTGTCCCTGAGTTCTTTTTTGCTTAACACTAGTGCTCTACCACTTTGAACCACTCTATCACTTGCAGTTTTCTGGTGGTTAATTGGAGATTACAGTCTCATGGACTTTCCTGCCCCAGAGTTGGCTTTGAATTGTGATCCTCAGATTTCAGCCTCCTGCGTAGCCTGGATCACATATGAGCCATCAACATCGAGCTGGGAGTCTCTTTAATAGAAAAGTGTTTAAAAAATAAATGTACAAATTCATTCTGAATGACTAGGTTTGAATGACATGATGAAGGAAAGGGATGAATTTCAGTGGTTTGGAAACTCCTGCACTTGGCCAAATTTCCTTTCCACCCAGCAAAATGTATTCAAGTTGTTTGCTTCCCTTCCATTACCATTGCTTCCCTTCCATTACCAATACATGGTGACGAAATATTTGGATGTGGAGCGGTATGGCCTCTGCTGAGGAAATTGGGTTCCTGTTTTATTGTAGTAGAGCTAAGCCTTCGTGTTCCACCTGACGCGTGATGGAGACCACCTGCTGTCGTGGTTGTGTTCATGTGGATTCACACAGGAACAAACTAACCGCTCAGAGGATTCATCACAATCGTGGGCTGCCTTTCTCTCAGTCTCCTCATTCACGGATTCCTTTTTCCTTCTTTCCCACACATGTCTTGAGTGGGCTGGGCATTGTGTAGGTTGTCTTTAAATAAGAGAAAAGATAGAAAGTTACAAAGAAAGATATCAAAAGAAATGAATGTTCATATCTGTGCATCTTCAACACACAAAAATACCCACATAGTGTCACCAAAACCTGTACCTGATGTGGCTACATTTTCTGCCTAGTGGTTAGGCCATACTCTCTAGTCCTTTTCATTTTTACTTTTTGTCTGTCCTTTCTGGGGCTTGAACTTAGGGCTTGGACACTATCCCTGAGTCCCTTCGTGCTCAAGGTTAGTGCTCAACTACTAGAGCCACAGCACCACTTTCAGCTTTTGCTGAGTAGTTTTTTGGAGATAAGAGTCTCACAGACTTTCCTGCCTGGGCTGGCTTTGAACCACGATCCCCAGATCTCAGTCTCCTGAGTAGCTAAGATTACAGGCATGAACCATCAGCATCTGGCTCATTTCCACCTTTTTGACCAGTTAATGGAGATATAAGTTTCTTGTCTGATAGCATATTGTGGGCTCCAGGCTACCTTGGAATGAATGTCCTTTTCCTTAGCCAGCCAATGGGTTTTGCCTTTTCATCTGAGCCACACAATCCAAGATCACTTTCCTTAGGATGAAAGGCAAATCACTGTTTCCTAATGCTGAGCCTTGGAGCCTATGTCAACATTGTGTTCAAGGTCGGACCGGAAGAGGGGAACCCACAGAAAGATTTTTCTCACAGTTGAAAAAATATATCATAATACCACCACGATAGATTCCAAATATACAGCTTCTTCCGGTCACATTTACTCACAAGTAGTTAAATAGCTTAATAAAGAGATCAGAGAATTATTAGCAGCTTACCAAGTATGATACTTACCCACAGCCCTGCGGTGTGCAGGTCAGTCTCTTTGGTAAGGATAATAAGGTTCAGTGGGTATGTAAATGCAAGTGAAGACTGTCCTCGGGTGTATTTATTTGTTCATTCATTCATTTATCTATCTGTCCATTTATTTATTTCAGACCAACTCCACAGATCGAGTGGAATAAATTGGATGGGGATTTACCAAAGGAAAGAGAAACAAAAGAAAACTATGGCAAGACTTTGAAGATAGAAAATGTGTCCTTCCAAGACAAAGGACTTTATCGCTGCATAGCCAGCAATTTCTTAGGAATGGCAAGTCATATTTTCAATGTCACAGTAGAAGGTATGTCCCCCAAGATGATTTTTTTGTTTCTACTTAAAGATGATGATTATATACATGGCCCTTTGTATATGTATTCAGGTAGGTCAGTGGTTTTGACTTGGTTAACGTACAAGCACCAAATTTTATTACACTTCGATTTCTCGAGCAAACCATATGAAGGGTACAGATGACAAGGAAAGATCACTTGAAGGATTCAACACACACACACACACACACAAACACACACATACACACACACATACAGCTTCCAGGATTTATTCAATTAGTCACCAAACTTACTCTTCCTTACCATTGAAATGAATTAATTTGTATTGAGGTATATCTGTGATATTGCATAATATTAACTGAAAAAGTCAGATTTTGGTGGAATACAGTATTACCAAGAGCTTGGGAAAAAAATTGAGATTTTCTTTCTAATAATGTGACAATCTCTCTTTGGCCTTCATCATGTGATTTCACTTTTCTGTACGTCATTTTTCCCACAAAAAGAAATGAGGGCATACGACAGCTTATCTTAGCTTGATTCTAGCTCCCACATTTTCTAGACTGTATCTTGAGTTTAGATTATATTCAGTATGCAGTTTAGAATGAAAAGGAAAGAATTTCTTGTAAGTCATAAGCATTCATTTCTTTTCCTAAAATACAAAAATACATCTTTTCTCTATAAATCCAAGCTTTTAGGTCAACTGAGGTTTTATGGTATTTTTTAAGCTATCAATAGAAATAGTTAAACAAGGATGACATCACTTAAAATGAAAAACAAAACAAAACCCAAGCAGTCACAAATGTAGATATTGAATCTGTGCCTGCTCTTCAGTGGTAAAGGTTATCTGGCCCTCCTGTGAAATTGATTGATGGAGACTATTTTCTTGAGGTCTGATCACATTGAAGTCTTCTATCTGTGGTTTACTTGACTGTATTGATCAGAATAATGGAATAATTACTGCATTTGTACTTCTTTAGTACTGTGCCCAGGCTTAACTATTGAAAGAAATTGTCTCTCCAGGGTGATCCTTTAGTGAATTAGAGCTCTCAGGCTCTCATTAATATTCCAATAAAGTTCACCACTTAAAGCTTCAGTTTGAACAAGGAAGACCTAAGTAATGACCTGGTGTTTTAATTAATGGGTGGGAAAAAAAGACTTGGACACAAATTCCACTTGCAAGTAAATGTTAGGATAATTGATTAGTCATATCCCTGTTTGGAATAATGCTGTGTTTCCAAAAAAACTCTGAAATAAGCTAAGGTAGGGAAAAAAAATCAAGATGAGAATTTCATTTTCCTTCATTCAACAAAAGGAAAAACCTATCTAGAAGAAAAACTCAATATCGGACATTAACCTGCACATCTGGCAACAAGAAAATATTCCCCTAGCACTGTATTCATCACAAAGAAATTCAGAGAGGAAGAGTTTATTTTTAATGTCTAACTTCAGTCTCCAGTCCATTTGGTTCTACCATACAACATGGTCCCTTGGCCCTTTGTCCAGCAAACACGTATGGACACATGAAGCAGACATGTGGAATTGTGAGCTCTCCCTGCTCCAAGTTTGCTGACTAGTAGAAATCCTTCCAGATGGTTGGGGCATTACTCTGGTAGCTGAATATTTTAACAATCTGCCCACAGTTTTCTTGCCTATTAAGGCTGAAGCTCTCAAAAAGAATTGCAAGGGTTGCAAAAGTAATCAAAGATGTAAAATTAATCATGCAATTTAAAACGTGGGCTATAGGAGTCCAAAAGAATGTACATTCCCTGAACAAATTGTTCCCACTCTTCATAAAACAGCTAATAGCACTGTGGAGATATAAATAATGTTTTTATGAGGAACATTTAATCATTTTCCCTTATTGAGAGACTACTAAATGGACCCTCAGTTGTATGCTTTAGGAGATGCTCTTCCAATGTACCATGAAAAGAAAATTGCGCTCAACATCTCTATTTTCCTGCTAATTTTGAATATAGTAAATATAATTTTTATTCATCATCTAGGTGCATGAGTTCACCCCTGTTCAATTTTCTACTGCTTTATTGAAACTTCTTCCTTTTATGTTTTTATTTTTTAATTATTTTTTTCACTTGCTTAGGGACCCACATCAAGTAATAAAGGTGACCCATGGGAAGGGGTAAAAAGGCGGTATTTACTGTAAACTTTGCAGATATGATCCATTTAGAAAAATACCCTCTATGCTTAAGTAAAAGTATTGCTTGTAAGACATTCTATTTGTGGTATTTCTTTGGTATTGAGAAACTTTGATTCCTGAAGTTTATATTTTAAGCTGCAATATTCTAAATATGAAATAAAACTATAATTCAAATCCTGTTTTCTATAGGGGCAAAGCCAGCCATGATGCCTAAACTGTACATACTGTACTTTCTTGGCATGCGTAGCATGAATGCACACATAGTAAAGAGACAGAAGGGAATGGGATTCAAACCATTCTAAATACATTAGAAATCAACCCATGATAGCAAGCATATTTCAACTGATTATTTAAAAATAACCTCCTACCAATAATTTTTATGCCATCAACTTTTGAATCTTTTAGGACATGAATTTGAGAAATGTAATAGAAATCTAGTGTTGATAATTATATATCCACAATTCCAAATTACTTGAACTGATACCTGATTTGAGATACAACTCCATCATTGAAATTAAGAAAACTCTATTTTCAAATAAGAAAATTCTTTTTCTTCCTTCCTTTCTTTCTTTCTTCCTTCCTTTCTTCCTTCCTTCCTTCTTTCCTTCCTTCCTTCTTCCTTCCTTCCTTTCTTCTTTCTTTCTTTCTTTCTTTTTTTTTTGTCAGTTGTGGGGCTTGAACTCGGCCTGGGTGCTGTCTCTCAGCTCTTCAGCTCAAGGCTAGCACTCTACCAATTGAGCCACAGTGCCACATCTAGTTTTCTGGTGGTTAATTGGAGATAAGAGTCTCATGCTCTTCCTGCCTGGGCTAGCTTTGAACCTGGACCCTCAGAGCTCAGCCTCCTGAGTAGCTAGGATGACAGGTGTGAGCTACCAGTGTCCAGCAGAAATTTATTTCTTAAAATTTGCAAATAGGCCAGGTGCCAATGGCTCACACCTGTCATCCTAGCTACTTGGGAGGCTGAGATTGGGAATAACTGTTCAAAGCCAGCCCAGAAAAGAAAGGCTGTGAGACTCTTATCTTCTTAACCAACTAAATGCCAGAAGTAGAGCTGTTGCTGAAGTGATAGAGCACGAGCCTTGAGCAAAAGAGCTAAGGGTCAGTACCCAGGCCCTAAGTACAAGCCACAGAACAGACACACACACAGTCACTACATACACATACAATTAAATCTACCTTTTGATAAACCCAGTAATTTGGCTATTAGTATATAAATATTTAATAGGAATTTGTGATAAGCAGTTTTCCTAAGAAAATACTGTTTAATAGATGTCAAATTTTGTTGGGTCTTCGTCCCTCCCACAAAAGACGGACGGGGTCCGAGGAAAGGTAAGTGCAGGGCTTGCCCATTGTTCCCCAGCCTCCCTCAGCCCGGGAGCCAAATCCAGCAGGTAGAAAACTCGTTTATTAACTGAGAGCAGCCCCTTTTAAAGACAAAAAGGGTGGGTGGCATGGCAAGGGAGGAAGAGGAACCAATCACTGTCAAGGTCACACCCTATCATGCACCTGAGCCTTTGGGCTGGTTAGGCCCTGATCCGCAGATCAATTGGGCTCTGCCCACTCTACTCTCTCCCAGCGCCATCTTGGCTGCCCATGTGCTCCACAGAATTTCCTGTGCGGGTTTTGTTTTCCTTTCAATGATAAACATCTTCTGTTAGTTTGCATATTATATTGTCAGTGTTTAGACACTGATATTTCTATTTTTATCAGTAAAAGATCAGTTTATGATCTTATTGTCTTGTTAACAATTATAGTGAAGTGGGTAAAGTTTCCACATAAAGCTTCAGCATAGTTATCAGTTACCACATATCTTTGCATAATTCATGAAAGAATGGGATTTTTCTAAATTTCCCTTGCATCTTCAATTTTACCCATCCTTCTGTGTTTTCCATTCTGTCAACTAGATCTTAACATTCATATACTTGCATATGAAGAGCTTTGGAAAATATACCTTTTTTATTTGTCTTTGGCTTACCTCTGGCCCACACCTCAATGTTCCCCAAATCCACCAAGCTAACGTCTTTATGCTAACAGTTATTCATTTATTTAGTTAGTTAGTCATTGAGTGGCAGTCCTGGAACTTGAAATCTGGACATTGTCCCTGAGCTTTCTTTGCTCAAGGCTGGTGCTCTACCCCTTGAGCCACAGCTCAAAGTGTCTGGCTTTTTGGTGATTAAGGGGAGATAAGATTTTCATGGACTTTCTTTCCAAGGCAAGTTTCTAATTCTGATCCTCAGATCTCAGCCTCTCGTGTAGCTAGGATTATAGGTGTGAGCCACTAATGGCCCAATATGGTCCTACTTTTTATTTTTATTTTTACTTTCTCTTTCCTTTGTCTTCTCTCTTTTCTCTCCTCTCCCTTCCCCTCCCTTTCCTCCCCTCCCTTCCCCTCCCTTCCCTCCCCTTCCCCTCCCTTCCCTCCCCTTCCCCCCCCTTCCCTCCCCTTCCCCTCCCTTCCCTCCCCTTCCCCTCCCTTCCCTTCCCTTCCCCTCCCTTCCCTTCCCTTCCCCTCCCTTCCCTTCCCTTCCCCTCCCTTCCCTTCCCTTCCCCTCCCTTCCCTTCCCTTCCCCTCCCTTCCCTTCCCTTCCCCTCCCTTTCCTTCCCTTCCCCTCCCTTCCCTTCCCTTCCCTTCCCTTCCCTCTCTCTCTGTTCCCTCTCCCTCTCTCTCTTTTACTGGGTTTGGAATTTGAATTCAGAACCCTGAGCTTTCTAGGCAACTGCTTTACCACTTGATTCATGCCCTTCATCTCATTAGCTTTGAGTTATTTATCAGTATGGTCTCATTTTTTTTGCCTCTGGCCATCATGGAACCAAAGTCTTCATATTTAATCCTCTGCCTTTTTTTGCGTGGGGGTTGTGGAAATCAGACCTCCCTAACTTTGAGCGAGGGTTAATCAAACTGCAGACCTTCTGATCTCTCCCAGCTGTGTAGCTGGGATTCCAGATGTGAGCCACTGTACTCAGCTTTTACTATACTTTCTTTAGGGAACAAGTAGTTTAATCCCAACAACCATATGCAATTATGAGACCATGAATCACCAGAACACAAGGGTTCCATACTGTCTGAGGTACTCCTTCTTTCTCTGATCTCTTCTTCCCTGGAGTCTCTGGTGGTGGGTTCTTTTGTTTCCTCTATATATACTAGTGTCTGACTTGTGCCAAACAGAAGAGGCACAAGGAAGAGTAGGAACCCTCCCTAGTTCTCATAAGCTCACTAGGCCAAGGACTCTCACTATTTATTTCGATATTGCACTTTTGCATATTGAATCTTTGTGTCAATACTGAGAGTTCCAGCTGGAGAGTAAGTGAAGACTGGGAGATGTCATGCTTCAAGTCTTTCAAACCGCAGGGCAGAAATTTGTCTACCTCTACTCAGGACCAACTTCTGCCAGGGAGCAGGCCTGGGAGGCTGAAAAATGAACATCGAAACCTTCATAAAATGTATGAAAAAACCGCTATGGTGAGGTTTAGTCACAACTCCTAGAGAGTGTGCAATGGATACTGAGGAGTCTCGATTGCAAGCACAAAGCAATCGATAGTTGGTAAACCAAGCTGACATTGTTTCTCATTTTAGTCTAGATTAAAAAGGAGCAATTAATTGGAAGCTAACCACAAAGCTTTGAGTCCAGGCTGATTCTCCCATAGGCCCTGTCCACAGACCCATGAAGTGGCAGACAGAGGAAATGGGGATGTTTGTGCTGACAGCACTGGGAAAATTAGATGATTCTCCAAAGCTCAGTCCAGCGTCTGTGAGGTGAAAGGATTAGAGGTGCTGATACCTCAAGACTGGCTTCCTTCTTAACAGCAGTAGATCTTAATATAGATTCTCAGAGGTATCTATATTAAGAGATTAAGGAAATTTGATAATAGAAATGGAAACCATGATTTTATTACATTGGCAAATTGAAAGGAATATTATCCTCTCATGATCTTTAGTTTTAGATGCTCTGAAAAGCCATAGTCATGGTTTTCTGCTGTAAACAGGATAATGTGTCTGCTCTTAGAGCTTTTTCATGTAAGTCCCACATGTTGATTTTATTGTGGTTACATAGCCAGACCAAAAGTAAAGCCTGCAAACCAAATCCCTTCATCTCCAAAAAATGGTGTTCAGTTAACTCAATATTTCCTGATTTAGCTAGGTGCTGGTAGCTCATGCCTGTTATCCTAGTTACTCAGGAGGCTGAGATCTGAGGATCTCAGTTCCTGGAAAGGAAAAAAGACTCTTCTCTCCAGTTAACTCCCAGAAAACCGGAAGTGGTGCTATGGCTCAAGGGGTAGAGTGCTTGCTTTGAGCTGAAGAACTCAGGGAGAGCTCTCAGACCCAGAGTTCAAGCCCCACATCTGACAAAGAAAAAAAATATGTCCAAATTCACTCGTTAGATAGATATAACAATGGGTTCGAAACCAGCCAAGTCTGCACCTTTGCAGAAGAATAATGCAAAGGCTGATATTGATCGAGATGCATTATTATGCTCATGAACTGGTTTGTTAAATTCAAACCCTTACACCTGTAAGACTACTTAAGAATAATAAAGAAAAGCAAGCCCCCCCAAAGCGAATGTCATTAGATAAGAAACAAAATATTGACAGTTCCAATTACTTTCATTAAAACAAGTTCTCAAATTACATTTCTCAGTGTCATTTCTCAGATCTTTTGCTTGTACCCCTGCTGCAGCCTGCAAAGCTGAAGCCAGCACTCTGTGCTTTTTCCTCTTTCATTTTCAGCTAGGGAGATTTACTCTTGTAGCTAAATAAAGTGGCTATATATGACTATTTTTAGTGTGTTGAGTTATTATACATGGAGTCCAAATTAAACACACACACACACACACACACACACACACACACACACACACACACACACACACACACAAAGATGCCCAGTTTCATTTGCAGAGCAAGTGTACAGAAAGCTACTCCTGTGAAAGAGTTGTGGTGCCTGCCCTCTGCTGGTGCGCAGGAGAAATGCAGGCCTTAACTTTTTTCTAACCTTTCTGTATAGATGGAGCCCTGATCAGCCCTTCTCTTTGTTTCCAGAGCCTCCCTACTGGACCAAGAAGCCTGAGAGCTGTGTGTTCAGCACAGGCAGCAGTGGGATCTTGTTATGTGAGGCTGGAGGGTATCCTCAACCCACCATCACGTGGAGAGTCAATGGTGCCCCGGCTGAGCGTGAGTTAGCTTACCAGGGGTGCTGAAACGGGCACCTCCATGCTTGGATGGGATGGTGAACAGGCAGACACACTGGGCGTGTGAAAACTGGAACTGGGAAGTGGCTGGAACGGCAGAGCAGGAAGTCAGAAAGTGCCTGTTTCTGGGCAACTTGACTGCTTATGGGAATGTGTCATGTATAGGGGACCCAGAAATAAAGTATGATTAGATTAACTTAAGAAGCATCTATAAAACCGAAGTTTTTTTTTAAATGCAGCTAAATGAGGAACCAGATGCACCAAAGAAGGAAAGACACTTATTGACTCCTTTCCCTGAAAAGAAATAAAGTTTCTGAGTGTCTGGGAACACAGCTGGGAAGTCAGGACCTCTCTGACATCCAGTGGCAGTAACCTTTGTCTCTTCACTGGTCATCAGACATCCTACTTGTCTCCATGATTTTCAGGGACCAAAAGTCATGTCAGGTTCAAATGAATGCACATGTCCCAGGATCCAGGAATCTTAACCATTCTTCAATATCCCAGACCAAATGTCCTTGTCAGTTCTGAGACCTGCATGGATAAGCGTAGCACAGAAAGGCTAAAATGGACCAGAACAGAAGACCTGTCTTCTCCCCATACCATGCTCTGACATAGACCTCGAAGTCCACAACTTCAACCCAAACCCAGAGCTCAAGTTGCTTTGAATATAGTTTGTGCAAACAAGAGGAGAGAGAATATATGTTATGCTTCAGCTCAATCAAGAGCAAGTTCAAATATTAGATATACTTCACGCTTTCCATTTATTCTTGTGCCTTAGACTTGCACATATCTGGGAGACCTCCCCCTGGACCACAGACTGGGGTTCCTTCTAGGCTGTGTGAACTTCCTAGCTGTGTGGCCTTGAGCTGTTTATTGGATAATCCCTCCTCCCCAAGCTTACACTTTCTAAGCTACAAAATGAAGAAAGTAGTCGTTTGTTTGGGCTGAATGAGATAAATACAGCCAGCCATGCGGGGTGGTGGCTGGACTGTAGAACTTTCCGTCTGGTTATCGTCTCTGGAGCCAGACTGCAATGTGCGTATGCACAGGCCCTGCGACATTCGAGCTATGTGGTTGTGGTTGTTGCTGACCTTCCACAGACTGGTAAGAGGAGCACAGCAGGGATTCCTGGCCGCTCCAGAGGCTGTGTTCATTCAGAGCTGTCCAGAAGGCCTAGAGAATGTGAGGAAGGATCAGGGTAGCTCGGTAAAGCATAGACATGTGTGTGTGTGTGTGTGTGTGTGTGTGTGTGTGTGTGTGTGTGTGGCGTAAAGCATCAACTCAGACACACAGACCTCGCAGCGCTCTTCGAGCATTCTGCCTGCAAGAACTCAAAAGAGCTAGCCATCTAATTCTCCAAGGATACTTGATCAATTTTCCTCAAGAACTATATTCACTATCTAATTGACTCTAACGAATTGCCCCCAAACTCAGTGGTTTCAAATGAGGTACATTTATGATTATATATTTCTGTGAGTTAGAAGTCTAACGGAGTCTCACTGAGCTAAAATCAAGATGTCAGGACAGCTGAGCATTCTTGGCTTTTCCCATCCCATAGCCTGCTCCAATTACCCATCTCATGACGCCCTCCTCATCCACCCCCCCCCCCCACACACACACTCCAAGCCCTTGGTTAAACCAGCATCCTTACATCTCTCTGACCATTTTGTTCTATAGTTTTGTACCTCCCTCTGGCTACATGGCTCTTCTGTTATTTTAAAAATACAATTTATCGGGCCTGGGAAGGTGGCTAAGTGGTAGAGTGCTTGCCTTGCATGCATGAGGCCCTGGGTTTGATTCCTCAGCACCACATAAGCAGAAAAACCTGGAAGTGGTGCTGTGGCTCAAGTGGTAGAGCGCTAGCCTTGAGCTGAAGAGCTGAGGGACAGCACCCAGGCCCAGAGTTCAGGCCCTGTGACCACCAAAAAAATACAATTTATTATTTGTTTTGTTTAAGGGGTACTGAGGAGTCAAACCAGGGCCTCATGCATACTAGGCAAGCAATCTGCCACTACGCCATATTTCCAGCTCCAACGCTTCTGATTTTTAAGAAGCAATATAACTACATGGGGTCTACCTGATTCATCTGGGATAGTTTCTCTGTCTGAAAGTCTTTAACCTTAATAACATCTGCAACCTTCCTTTTCCAATCTAAGATAAAATCCTCATAAATTCTGAGGCTGAGAGCACTGATCTGTTTCAGGGACTATTTTTTCAGCCTCTGTAATGAGTCTCTCATGAATAAAATGCCACCCATTCTCATTTTTTTTGCAGCCCTTTCCACAAATGTATACTGTGTGTTCTGTGAGAGATAATATTCCAGAGCTATGGACTCACTGTGTAATCATGTGGATATGCTTAAAGATACTTCTTCCTGCAGCTTACAGTCTAGAGAGGAAAAAAAGTGTATTCATTTATGACTCCCAGGAAGAAAAGATATATAAGAAAAATCCTTTTCTTATTGGAGACCTGGAAGAAAAGATGTATAAGGAAATCTTTTTCTTTTACTATTGGAGATTTAAGGTTTTCTATGAGTCCCCAAAATAACACAATCATTATTACTGCAGAAAAGTAGGGAACAATTTCTTTGTAAAACAGGAACTTGGTGTCAAAAGAGAAAGCAAGGACCACTACATGGATGAATGGACCCACGATGCATTGACCTCATGATTTTTGCTGGTACTAAACTAGACTTACTTCAGACAAGTAAGAGAGTTTCAGTCCATCCGCAGGAGGACTTACACAGCAGTAATCGCCTGCCATCTTATTGGGTGCCAAGACCTAGCCAGGCAATGGTCTATAACCCAATAGCTATTCCACAATGAATATCTAGGCAAAGGAAGACGGAAAGTACAAAAGGGTCTGAAAAGAAATCTCCATGATTCATTTAGGAAAGCCTAATGTGTTTGGCCCTGTTCAACTATCCTTCAACCTGGTCTTAAAATATAAATTCTGTGTGACACGTTGGACAAATGGTGTCTAAATAGTTCATGTCCTGCTCTTCATCATTCTCCGGATCATTCTTTCATCTTTTGCAGACCATCCATTTGCTGGTGATGTTGTCCTCCCCAACGAAGTCAGTTTTACCAACCTCCACCCAAATCACACTGCCGTGTACCAGTGTGAGGCCTCCAACGTGCACGGAACCATCCTCACCAACGTCAACATTGATGTTGTGGGTGAGTGTGCTGGAGAGCACACCTGAGCGGCTCTCCCTTTTCCTCCTTTAATTCATCAAGGATTATTATTTATCCCTAAGTGGTTGTACACCGGGGCATCAATGCAGCAGGTCCACTTATGAGTACCCTTCCATCAGCACCACCCCCACCCCCTCCCACCCCCCCATCTACCTCAACCCCACCAGGCCCTCACATTTACTTTACTCTTTTCTGAGGGAAAATGGGTCAAGGTTATCATTACCCACGTATCCGTTTAATTATTTTGTATGATTTCTTTTTTTACTTCTAGTGTAAGGGGGTAGGTCCACAGGGTGACAGTTACCTAAGTCAGGTAATGAATACCTTTCTTTTTGAACAGTGTCACCCCTTCCCTCATTTTCTCCCTCCCGACCCCGCTTCCCCCCAAGTTGCAGAGTTCATTTCCAGTCTAGTGTCCGGTGAGCATCACTGCTGAATTAGTTCACCCTTTGTCCCATTGTTTCTGTGCCTACCCTTCCCCACACCATTCTTGTGACACAAAACATGCGTGGAAAATCAAATCCTCTTTTGTCCTACCTGTGGGCATTGGATTCCATACTAAAATGACACTTGCAAGACCTATGGAGTTGGAATCATTTTCAGACTCAGGGCTCTGTCCTGTAACCATCCGTCTTCCCTTCTCATTAACGTGGTTTGGAGATCATAAAGCCTGATCTGCCCAGAGGTCTTCTATGTAAACTATAGCCTCGTCCTTTTCCAATAGATGTCCTCCCACTGATCAAAACGAAAGATGAAGAGAACTACGCCACCGTGGCTGGGTACAGTGCCTTCTTACATTGCGAGTTCTTCGCTTCACCCGAAGCAGTTGTGACCTGGTAAGCCAGCGTGACCTGTTCTTCTGATGAGGGATTGGGGGAGTTTTTTTGGTCCTATTTCCTTATGTGTCTTGTGATGGGCTGAGCTGTGTCCACACTGCTGTGTGGGGCCAGTGTTTCTGGGTGCTAAGAGAGTACAGGTGATTAGTTAAAGCTAAGAAACCATCCATCATGGCCATCCCATGTGGGCAGAGACAGGGGAGACGTCTGTGTTCAAGAAGAAAAGCAAAGAAGCAAAGGAATTCCTAAGATCATGGTAAATCTGGGTTTGTTTATTCACTAGGAGCAGATCTAAGGCCAGCTGTTAGTGGGGTCATTCCAGGATCACCTTAACAAATAATCTTCAGTTAATTCAATTCACGTATACTTCCGGGCACCAGTGGATTATGCTACTCATGAGGCTGAGATGTGAGGATCATGGTTCGAAGCCAGCCCTGGGCAGGAAAGTCTTGAGACTCTTGTCTTCAATAAACCACTCAAGGCCAGAAGTGGTACTGTGGCTCAAGTGGTAGAGCACTAGCCTTGAGTACAAAGAGGCTCAAAAATAACACCCAAGAGCTGAGTTCAAGCCCCAGAACTGGCAAAAAAAATAAACAACCAAAAACCCCTATATACTTATATTACTAATATGTAGTTATAAATTAATACTTAATATGCTTATCTAAGTATATTTATATATTTATATTAATAAAATATAACGATATAATTAACATATGGTTATCTACATATAATTATCTAACCACTAGCTATATAATTATAGAAATGATTTTAGAAGTAATCACACAATTAATTGTGTAATTAATCACATAATTAAGTTAGGAACAATTCAGTCAGTATAGGAACATTACCAGCATTCATATAATAAATATCATAGCATGTGTTGCCATGTGGATCTACCACGTTTTTACTGAAACCATCTGCTCAATCTACTGTTAAAGAGTTGACCATTATTCTGCTGGCCTCAGACAGAGTAAAAGCTGTGAGCTTGCCATTCAAGTATATTCACACGTTGTCTCTAATTACAATCGCGTTATTTTTGGGTTTGTGATGTGGGGCATTGTTGTCTTTATTTTGGGCGTAATCCACAGAGATATTTTCCCTTGTCTCAATGGAATCTTTGACTCCCTCTTAAATAATGCACCCAAGGCAGGACCTGCCTTCACCTCCACTTCATCCCTGCCTTGGTTCGCCCCCTTCCCTCCCTCCCGCCCCCCCCCCCCTCGTGAGCAGCCGACATGCTGGCAATTTTTGAGTCTGAGCTGTCACCTATTACAAAAATACAAAGGGTCCATCAAGCTGTGGCAGGGAGAGGTTGGAAAATGGATAGAGGTAGGAGAAAAGGAGTCCGAGGTGGATGAGGTGTATTCGTGTGCCCACACCATGGAAGGGCTTTCCTGGCTTCTAATATTTCTGAATGACCAATATTCTCCCAGGACAGCAGGAGGTGTGGAAGGGTTCGTTATGTCTCTCAGGTACTAACTTTCCCATGTAGTGCATGGGAACGATCATTAACTATAGAGTTCACCATCAATAAGCCAGAATATATTTATGAATCTCTGAGGATTGATGCAAAGCGGTGTTGGTAACTGAGGAAGACGGCAGAAGCTCCAACCTGGGCTTGGCTGCCTAGACTATCCACAGATCAGGAGCAAACTTAAGAACAACTGTAAATTTCAATGGACTAAGCACCAGAGGAAGAGACAATAACATCAATGAGCAGAGAATAGGAGCGTAGCATGCCATCCCATCCGAGTTAATTGATGCTATGTGTTTTTCAATAGGCAGACCGTGGACGCAGCTAAACCTCTGGAAGGCCGCCGGTACCATGTGTATGAAAATGGCACCTTGCAGATACGGAAGGCTACGGAAGAAGATGCAGGGTCTTACTCTTGTTGGGTCGAAAACGCGATTGGAAAAACTGCAGTCACAGCCAATCTGGATATTAGAAGTATTTTTACTTCTTTTTTTGTTTTTAAACTTTGCATGATTTTTCAAATGGTTTTTCTGTAGGTTTTCATATCCTCAAGTGAAACAATTTGATTTCAATCTGATTTATATAGTTCTGTTGGCCCCTTTTAATCGATCCTTTATTGAAGATCATCTAAAAGATGATTGCAAGCATGATGTATGCACCAGGGCTTTGTACGACACGGAGTTTGGTGTTATTAGTGATCAATGACCAATGATATTTAGCAGTCCTGTTTAGGTCAGACAACTAGTGAGTTACACCTGTAATGATAGCTTCTTAACAATCTGAGATCTGAGGATCATGGAACGAAGTTTTTCCCCAGACAGGAAAGTCTGTGAGATGTTCATCTCCAATTACCAGTGAAAACCTGGAAGTAGAGCTGTGGCTCAATTAGTAGAGTTCTAGCCTTGATTGAAAAAGGTAAAGGCATTGAGTTCACGTCCCAGTACTGGCACAAATACAAACAAAATAAAAGGGAGTGGGTAACAGAAAATCAACTAACTTTCCCCTGCTTTTAAAATAAGGTTCCAATTACATATTAAAAAGCAACAGAGGAAGTGGAGCTGTAGCTCAAGTGGTAGAGCGCTCGACTTGAGCTGAAGAGCTGAGGGACAGTGCTCAGGCACAGAGTTCAAGCCCCATGACCAACAAAAAATTTAATAAAATAAAACTAACTAAATAAATAAATAAGCAACAGAAGCTGGGCGCCCGTGGCTCACGCCTGTAATCCTAACTACTAGGAGGCTGAGATCTCAGGATCATGGTTGAAAGCCAGCGCAAGCAGAAAAATCTGTGAGACTCTTATCTCCAATAAACCACCAGAAAACCAGAAGTGGCACTGTGGCTCAAGTGGTAGAGCACTTACCTTGAGATGAAGAGCTGAGGGATTGTGTCCAACCCCAGATTTCAAGCCCCATAACCAACAACAACAACAAAAAGCAACAGATGGAGAAATGGAATCATTTTCAGCTTCTAAAAGCATTCATTTGCTTATAGTTTGCTTATTCCTTATACCTAAGCATAATAAGAAAAATTGCTGAGCTGTATTTTGGCACTTTACTCATATTTTGCCAGATGACCAAGCCTGCCAAGAAAGACAGTAATAATGAGAGATGGCATTAGAACATTACATTTGGGGTGAGCATTACCTGCTGATTTGCCTAGGAAAGCTAACAATTTTGGTTGATTCAGTTGCAGGCACTTGATTACAAAGTAAGCTGTGCCCTGTGATAGTAACTCCTATCTATATTTTATGTAAAAACAGATGCTACAAAACTCACCGTTTCCCCTAAGAATCCTCGAGTCCACAAATCCCACATGCTTGAGTTGCATTGCGAGAGCAACTGTGACTCACATTTGAAGCGCAGTTTGAAGCTGTCCTGGAGCAAAGATGGAGAAGGCTTTGAAATCAATGGCACCGAAGATGGCAGGTAAGAAAGACAGTCATGATGGGTCAGATTCTGTGCTTGGTTTAAGATTTTACAAACTGGTCACACACATTCGCCTGGCCCCTGCACAAGAATGACATGCAAACCCACAAAACACTCCCTACTTTTGATCCGGTACATGTAGTATCTATACAATGACATCTCATTCATCCATAGGAAAAACTGCTATGTCACTTGCAAGGAAATGGATGATCATGGGTCGTGGGGCCTGAACTCTGGGCCTGGGCGCTGTCCCTCAGCTCTTCAGCTCAAGGCTAGCATTCTACCACTTGAGCCACAGCGCCACTTCCGGTTTTCTGGTGGTTCATTGGAGATAAGAGTCTCATGAACTTTCCTGACTGGACTGGCTTTGAATCTTGATCCTCTGATCTCAGCCCCCTGAGTAGCTAGGATGATAGGCATGAGCCACCAGCGCCTGGCTTCTTTTGGGTTCTAGATCGCACAGCGGCACTGCGGCTGTGAGCCAGGTTTGTGGCCATGGCTGATATCACCACACCCACCTCACCCCATGGATACCACTGAGGGCAGAGTCACTGCCGGTCCAATGTGTGCTCTGATGGCTCAGAGAGGGGCAGAGGCCACTTCACCTGAGCCTGCGAACCTGACTCCTGTCCTCACTGGGAGAGCCTCAGCCACATCTGAAATTCCTCCTGCTGCAAAGAACCGGCCACAACACTCGTCACTTGGAAACTGGAGGGAATAGAAAGGGGATGCAAAGATTACAAGGTGGTCTCTGTAAGGGGTGTCCTCATAAGAGGCCATGAACTTGAGGGAAAACAAACCAACAATCCCACTCAGAGATAGCGTGCTGAGCTGTTGGAAAGAAGGGAGGCTTTAGGGATAGGGAATAGGAATGTTGAACTATCTACCATGACGAATGTGATTATTGATAAGCCAGAAACAAATCAATTTCGTTATGAGTCAGAATACCCTGTATACTTCATCACAGCATGCAATTTTCCTCATTTATTTCTCCTCAAGGAACACACTCTTCAGATGTTGCAGCAAATGGATACAGGATAAATATGAACTGAGACATTTATTTATATCCAATGTAGAATATAGTGTCATTATTGACCATCCGTATCCAGTGGTATTCATTGACCCCTGGTTCAGTTATTAGTGTAGACATGAGACTGTCTACCATCAAGAGGTAGAGCAGTTCAGTTTCACTGCAGTTTCTGGTAAGTTTGAGCTTTCCACACCTCTGACAGTTTGAGCTGCCTATCAAAATGTTTCATTTATGTGTCTTCCTCTCTGCAAAGGTAGCACTACTTATATTATTTTAATGAGAGTGTCACTAGGTGAATTTATTTTACTGGCACTTTGTTTTTTTAAGTACATGAACATTGATGTTGATGATTCATAGGTGCAGAGTGAAAGGTACATTTATAAAGGAGCAATTTGCTGGTAGTAAATCGTTACAAACCAACAAATGATGTAAACCAAATGATAGAAAGCTGGTTGAAAAGATTTGCAGAAAGTAGTACTAGACTGCCACCGTGTGGCCAAATTGTAGAACTGTTACTGGTTCTTCAAAACTGTCAAAAGATTGAGACTCAACCACAGGTGTTCTGGTTCATGGGACTCAGGAATTTACCTTTGGAAGGAACATCCCAGGTGACCTCTTCAGGTCTTCCTGATAATTCCTTATAGCAGTTTTCCAATGTATGCTAGTAATTGTAAGTTCGGCATACTGCTAAACCATGGCCAGAAGTAATTCCATCTTGACCTGCTGTACATCGCAGATGACTTTATAATTTTTAAAAATGTGATCCCATCTCTGACTATGGGCACATGTATGTTATGCGAAATGTTATTTGCTTTTCCACAAATCACTTTCCATAGGGAACATGCATTTCTTAGTTGTTCAAGTAGATGTATTTACCTCTTTATAACACAGAATCAGATACAGCACAGTAGAATTACCCAAGACCACCATGTGTCTTACTAAGAGACCCTACTTGTGTCTATGTTTCTAATGGTCTAAACATTGCCTCATCTTACCTGGGAAAGAATATCAGGGACCCAAATATATATTCCATAGGCTTTTTTCCCCCCCAATCTTGGGACTTGAACTCAGGGTCTGGACACTGTCCCTGAGCTTCTTTGGCTCAAGGCTAGCACTCCACCACTTGAGCCACAGCACCATTTCCGGCATTTTCTGTGTATGTGCTACTGAGGAATCAAACCCAGGGCTTCATGCATGCTAGGCAAGCACTCTACCCCTAAGCCACCTTCCCAGCTCCCGTAGCCTTTTTTGAATGCTACGAAATGATAGGGTTCATTCTGACATTTCCAAACATAAACGCAATAGATGTTGATCTGGGGATCGACAGCTTGGAAAGCGCTGTTTCTGGTATTCGGTTGTTCTTGTTCTCATCATGTGCTTTTCTTCCTCCTTCCCCCCTAATAGGATAGTGATTGATGGTGCTAACTTGACCATATCTAATGTGACTTTGGACGACCAAGGCCTTTACTCTTGTACTGCGCAGACTGCTCTGGATAGTGCCATTGAGGTAACTCAAGTCACCGTCCTTGGTGAGTACACGCATCTCTGTGCACGTCTCCCCCTGTGGCTGGGGAAGGACATGGATCCCAGATGAAAGAGCTCATGCTAGTCTCACCCCTTCAGCATCCATTTTGGTGTCACTAATGATCCCACGTCTTCTTATATATCTTCATTAAGGCTTAATTTCTTTTGCCCTCCCCGGGGGAAGTTCATCAATAGCAGCGGGAGAGAAGAGATTCCATCAGCAGACAGAAACACCAAGCCTGCTTCAGCCCTTTCAAGGCGTGCAGAGAAATGGGGCTGAGCATTGGGGGAGGGGGCTGAGAGTGGAAGGACACGCATGGGGGAGGGGTCCCATCAGGCACGCGCGCCCTGTTCCACACCAGAATCCCTGCCTGAGTCCTCCGGGGTACAGGCCGGCTGCGGAGGGACTGTATGCATTCTGTAAGGGATTCCTGTAACTTCTAAGTGATGATGCTAATTAGAAAATCGCGCACTCCAGGAGGGTAATCAGTGCAAGCAGCCCCGAGATCGCCAAGGCTCAAAGCTCTGACCCCAGCTTCAGGGTGTTGCCCAGTGGCCAGGGCCGGTCCTGACCCGCTCTGACCCAGCCTTTTCATCGGGCCCTGCCTGCTCTTTAGCATTCATTTGTTCAGTCCACGGGAGCCCTGGGCGCCAGGGGAATCCATTCTCCTCACTCCTCCCTGCAGGCCGGATGCCTTCCACTGCCCGCCGCCCTGCTCTCCTAGGAGCCTCCCTCAGGCCAGTCCTTCAGAGGCCACGCTGGCCACGCCTTCCCACCAGCCGGCTGCCGGCGCGCTCTACTACCCCATAAAGCATCCATGAATTGGAATCCCTTCACACTCATCAGCTATTTTCTTCTGGGATTCGGACGGCTGCAGACATTTTCACAGTTTCCATTTATGCTTTCTTTTCAGTTGGGGGAGGCACCCTTGAGTCTTTCAGCATTTGTTGTTGTTTTTGTTTGTCTTTTGTGCTGGGATTTGAACTCAGGGCTTTGTAGTCTCATGTGGCATTTCTTAATTAAGGCTGATGCTCCAGTGCTTGACCTACACTGCCACTTCCAGTTTATTTTGTTTTATTTTTGTCCCGGTCAATTTAAGAGTCTCTTGCACTTTTCTCCCTGGCCTGGGTTCAAACCCAGATCTCAGCCTCTTGAGCAGCCCGGGTTACAGCCATGAACCACGGGCACTGCACCTTTAGAATTTCTTAGCAGCATTTTATTTGCTGATGTTTCTCTATCTTATGACAGGATTAATCACTGTTAGGAATAGGCCTTTGTGTCATTAGTGCCTCAGTTTCCTTGATCTACAAGTAGGTTACTAACTAAGGGAGATACAGACAGAAAGGCAAACCATCAAGTCTCTTCTAAATGTAGACTGGTGAAGACAGCGCGGACAGGTTGCATCCCTTCTGGTGAAGCCGATGACCACGGGCTAGGTTTTCTCAGAAAAATAGGAATAATATCCCAAGTTGTAGAAGCTACAGACTTGGCACAGTTGGCAAGATGAACTTTTAGGTGAAATGTTTGATAGGTATGTGAACTGCTTTAAGAGTCTACACGTAGGGGCTGGGAAGGTGGCTCAGTGGTAGAGTGCTTGCCTCACATGTATGAGGCCCTGGGTTCGATTCCTCAGCACCACATAGCTCAAGTAATAGAGTGCTAGCTAGCCTTGAGCTGAAGAGCTGAAGGACAATGCCCAGGCCCAGAGTTCAAGCCCCCTCTCCCCACCAACAACAAAAGATTCTACAAGCAAAAGGTGCCATCTTCGGCTAATTTTCCCAACAGGAATTTTCTAGAGAAAATAGTTGAGCATCAGGTAGACTAGAATTTCTCTCAAGTACCACAAGGAGGAGGAAATTATGAATCATGAGTTTGTGTGGAAGTATCTTGAATAGTTGTATCTACAAGGGGATTAGCACTATGCTAATTGGTAGTTTCCTTATCAATTTCCTTGTGCAATTTACAATTTGGTTCCTGTGTTTACCTGACTAGTTATCTAGCACTAGTTCATTTTGTGTATTACTACATGTATTACCTAGTCACTTAGAGTAAAAATAAAACTACTATTTGAAATATATTCTGTGAGAGAATTCATTAAAGGAAATGATTTTCTTAGGTTTCTATGCTAATATATCTATTCCAATCACTGGTTTACAAACGTTTATTTCAATAACAAATGACAATAAGTGACGATCGATGTAGCTTCAGATTATAAGATGCCTTTATTCTTGACAAGCAATTTTAGAAGCCCAGGACAAGTGAACTTGTACCAGAAGTCATTTCCAAAAGACTCGATATTAAAATGCTGTGAAAATAACATTTTATAAAGTCTGAGTTGAACGTTAATTAAAGATAAGTTTGCATGAATCTCAGAGACATGTGATATAATAGTCTGCTTTCCTTGTTCCAGGAAACCTCAAGACATAGTGAGTCCTTATTACGTGCTAAAGAGAAATATACATTCTCTGAACTCAGAGATGCAGAAAAACTCTTGAGGAAATACTTGCTAGTCTAGATATAGCATTGGACACAGTCATATTCCACACTTTACAAATGTGCATGTTCTATTCTAAGTTGGAAGCAATGCTGTTAGTCAATAAATAGTTCCAAAAATTGAAATACTCAGTATGGGCAAACAGGCTTTAGAAACTCCTCTGAACAAACATGAATAGACTTGAGAACATTAGAACAAATTCTGGCAGTAAGTTTCACCTGAGATGCTATTTCATTACTCTTTTTATTTGGAAACTTCCAGAAATTTCCATGTGTTTAGCAACAGCACTCCAACACTCAACTGTTTGTCCTCACCTACTCAGTGAGTACTTCTCTCACATTTGGTCACATCTGCTTCTTCCCACATAAACTTGCTTCTTACTCTTTTCTGGATTGACACGTTGCTCTTATATTCTGAAAATTTTGTTTTTATATATTACCATAAAAATTCAAAGTAGAGTTCATGTTATGCAAACAAACATTTAAATGCCAAACACCTTGGACAATGCAAAGGCTAATAAGATAATGATCCTTACTTATTCCTTTACTATTCTGCCTGCTCTATTCTCCTATAGGAGAAGGCAGCAAATAAATTAGCTGCAGCAAAGTAAATGACCCATTTCCGACACACTTCTTGTATGTAATCTTCAGCCAGGAAAAAAATGTGTCTGCAAATGCAGATTCCTGGGCTCAGCTCCTTCTTGTAAACCAGGAAACTTGATTGCTAAACATTACTCTGAAGGCAACATTTAGTGCCCTCAGTTCATATTTGAACTGGGCTCATTCCTAGGAGGCTGAGATGTGAGGTTCTCCATTCAAAGCCAGCCTTGGCAGGAAAGTCTGTGAAACTCTTATCTCCAATTAACCATCCAAAAGGAAAAAGGTAGAAGTGGAGGTGTGGCTCAAGGGGTATAGCACCAGCCAGCCTTGAGGGGGAAAAAAAACTGCTAAGGGATAGCTCCCAGCCCCTGAGCTCAAGCCCTAATATACAAAAATAAATAAACAACTAAAATGGAATGAGTCTTGGGAACTGCAATCAGAAAAAAAAAAGGAAGGGGGCAAAATGATTGAAGCAAGATGTGAAGAGACAGAAAGATGCTGCATTTGGGGCAGACACTGGAGGCTGGCACTGTTGAAATATGAGCAGGTCAGATGGAGACCTGGGCCCACAGAGGCCAGCATTGTGTCAGAGAGAATCAGGAAACAAGGCGTTGATCTGCAGCTCCTTACTTTTGTGTATTTTATTCTTCATTAGATGTTCCGGATCCCCCAACGAATCTCCACTTGTCAGAGAGACAGAACAGGAGCGTCCGGCTCTCATGGGAAGCTGGAGATGACCGCAATAGCAATATTAGTGGTAGGAAGAACTGAAATAATGATTTTTTTTCTACAACCAATAGAGTCAAATCAATATGATGGCCATTTTCCCCCCTGTTCCTGGGCGTGTTATCACTCTTAGACCACTCTTGTAAGCTTGTAAGAGTGTGTATAAGTCTCAGTTGAATGTCAGCCTCTGCAGTAGGTTCTAATGGTGTGTCGTGTTCTTCCTGCCAGAGTATATTGTAGAATTCGAAGGAAACAGAGAGGAACCCGGAAGATGGGAGGAACTGACAAGGGTCGGAGCAGAGGAAACCACGGTTGTGTTACCATTGGCTCCTTATGTGAGGTATCAGTTCAGGGTCCTGGCTGTGAACGAAGTAGGGAGGAGTCAGCCCAGCCAGCCTTCAGAACAGCATGAAACCCCACCAGCAGGTAAGAGGACTCTGTCCTCCAGTACTAATTCTACTTTGGCTACATCTTGCGATCTAAGAAAGTAAAGAAAGTACAAAAGAGAGAGAGACACAGATAGCAGACAGACTGACAGACAGATGAACAAAAGAAGAGAAAAAATAGGAGGAGAAAAAGGGAGGGAGGTTGAATAAGTACTATAGGATGTTAGAATTGTTGTTTGCTCAATTATATAAACTAAAGTCACACACAATATTCGAAGTGCACCAGTTTCAGAAGTGTTACCAAGAGTTTTGATAGCAAGACGTTTAGGGAAGTGTGGCATAGAAAGACAGTGATATGAATTCTTGTCAACAATTAAGAGCGTGTTTAAGTGGTGTGTCATAAAGCAAGTGCTAAGTTAAAGTTCAATGTATAAGGTCAAGCATTCCGTTTTCTGAAATAAAACTTTGGGTTTCATTGTGACACCTTGCTACATGTTCAACATGACTAATATTAATATTCACATTTGTAGTGCTGGATCTATATAAATTGCCTAGGATGTGTTGTCTTCCTCAAATAATTGGTGCTATTGAATTGGCTTCAGTTCTCATTGTGGCCATCTATTGGTTTTCCTGAGTGATAGATACATATCCTGCTGTGTTATAATTTCCTTCTGGGCCTGAGAAAGAGCAAAGTAAGATAATATAGAGCAGGGTGCCCCATCTGTAATCCTAGCTACTCAGGAGGCTGAGATCTAAGGATCATGATTCGAAGCCAGCCCAAGTAGAAAAGTCTTCATGAGAGCAAGAATCCGGAAGTGATGCTTTGGCTCAAGTGGTAGAGCACTAGCTTTGAGCACAAAGAGGCTCATGGACAGGACCCAGGCCCTGAGTTCAAACCCCGCAATAGACAAAAATAAAGATAATAAATGCTTGTGAAATGTACATTTTAGTGTGTGTAGATTTGATTGAGTGCTACACAAAACTCTCTTAGTTCTTTCTACTGAAATCATCCATACTATTTCCTTTTTTTGGGGGGGTGGGGGTCCGATGGTGGGGCCTGAACTCTGGGCCTGGGTGCTGTCCCTCAGCTCTTCAGCTCAAGGCTAGCACTCTACCACTTGAGCCACAGCACCACTTCCAGGTTTTTTCTTTTTGCTTATGTGGTGCTGAGGAATCAAACCCAGGGCCTCAGGCATGCAAGGCAAGCACTCTACCACTGAGCCACCTTCCCAGCCCCATACTATTTCCTTTTGGCTGCCACTAAAAGTTGCCTATTGATTTTAATACAGGCATTTAATTTTGGTTTCCTAGGGGCAGATCTCAGCATCTATGTCTATCCACAATTCTTAATTAAAAAGTAGAGCCAGTTTAGAATGAAAACACATTCAAACAGTAGGTGTGCTATTTTAACCTGCAGGTTTGAATCTCAGATACGCAAAGCAAACCCTGTATGTTTCACTGGATGTTAGCTATATTACACCCGGGACCAATATTTTGTTGTTTTAAATATAACATGTGTCATAAAGTTGCCTTAAGTCTTTTTTAAAAACAGTCGACTATATTAAGATCAATAAATAGAACCAGGGTTATTTAAGTGTCTGTTGAGGAACAGATAAAATATTTTCCTTTTTACTCAATGTGCAGTGAGAAAAATAAACCTAATGTGTGTCATTTGTTTTTTTCAGCTCCAGATAAGAATCCCCAAAACATAAGAGTTCAAGCTTCCCAACCCAAGGAGATGATTATAAAATGGCAGGTGTGTATTCCTGAAAGTGTTATGTATCTCTTTTGTCTTTCCCTGCCTCCCTCCCCCGCACCCTGCACCTTTTAGGTCTATTCCTTTCAGAGATGAAAGGAATGTATGAGTTCTTATCTGTGTATAATTTGCACATGATCAGAACAACTTGTGAACTAGACTTCACAGTGGTATATAATTTAAGGAGGGTGGTACAATTGGGCTGAACTGGAATCTTGTCCCCAAAAGTTTCATCTTCCTGGCATTTTTATTTCTAGTGTTCTATTAAACTCATTCCAGAGTACCTTTCCGTAGGTGGCTTTTTCAATAGAATATAAAAGGATGCTGTCAGAATTCAAATCACTAGTTGTTAACTCCCACAGGCATTTTATACATTTATTTCTAATTCTAAGAAGGGTCCAAAGTGTTGCCCAACACAACATTCCCAAACAACCAGAACTGAACAAAACCAGATGACAACACACTCTGCCCTTCCTCCTTCACCTGTGTCCATTAAGTGTTACTGAAGGCTTTACTCTTTGAATGTCACAAAACAATTTGTATCCCTGAATTAACTTCCATTTTTCTAATGTCATTTCCAAGTCTCTCTCTGTAACTGTGAAGAATGGAAAACTTACTTTTTTCTTGTTTTTTTTTTTCTCTTTCTTTCTTTTTCTTTCTTTCTTTCTTTTTTTTTTTTTTGGTCGGTCTCGGGGCTTGAACTCTGGGCCTGAACGCTGTCCCTCAGCAATTCAGCTCAAAGCTAGCACTCTACCACTTGAGCTACAGTGCCACTTCCAGTTGTCCGGTGGTTTATGGGAGATAAGAGTTTCACAGACTTTCCTGCCAGGCTGGCTTTGAACCACAATCCTTAGATCTCAGCCTCTTGAGTAGCTAGGATTACAGGTGTGAGCCACCGGTGCCCAGCTAAACTTACTTTTTTCTTAAAAATATTATTTTATTTTACAGTATTGGGGTTTGAACTCAAGGCCTTGTACTTGCTTGGCTTGCTTGCTTGCTTGGCTAGCAATGTGCTATTTCAGTCATACTTTCATTCTGTTTTTTTTTTTTCTTCCTGGTTATTTTGGAGATGGAACTTTGCAGATTGTTTTGCCTGGTCTGGCTTTGATCTTTGATCTCCCAGGATTACATTACAGGCATAAGCCACCAGTGCATGACTTACTTTCAACAAAATACCTGATCAATTTTATATATTGACATATATATTATAGATTACCATACTTATTAGCAATATTCTTCCAACATCAAGTTTATTGAATTTTGCCTATAAATAGGACATCTAAAAACATGTGCTAGAATACCATAATAAATTTCTATACCTAATTCCAAGTACAGTTTTTAAAGAATCCTAAAATAAAATGACTTGCTTTTTCCTCTTCTACATTGGTGTTCAAACTCATTATACACACATATGATCCATACTTACAAATTACCTAGTGAATATTGCATTACAGAACTTTTATTTCCACTGAAACCAAATGAGATGACAAATTTAAGATGAAATGTGAAAAAAAGAGCATAGCAATAAAAAGAAACTAAATAGACATAAGAACTTGATTTTTTTTTTCTTGAAATTGCAGTCGTAAGCAGTTACTGCCATATTGTCGTGATGATTGCTTAGAAGGTGAAATAGTGTCAATCCTTTGTAGAGTGCATGTGCTTTTTGCTTAAGGTCCATGGGACTTTCTATAAGGTAGATGTAGTGAGATTTTAATAATAGTATGTAATAGTACAGGTCAGTTCCTTACTTGGTCACACTAGGTTCCTCTAGCATGAGAATCTCATTCCTCTGGGCACACTACAGGAGCCCTGGTGTCCACTCCCATGCTGTGCCCCGCTCCAGAGTCAGGTATGGCAGGACAGGAAGTGATCTTCAATCTCCCTACTGATCTGTTACTCAGACATCATTCTTTTTCCACCAAAGCCTGATAACCGATGTTCTCTTCTTGTGAAGACAATGTTTGTCATCTGTCTAGGAAATCGACATGCCATTTAATTTGGCACTTAATTGAGTCCATCAAGGAAGTAGTCACAGAGCTTTGGAACTAGATGGGCAGTAACAATTGTGATACATGCCATTGCATTCATGGGAGTTTGACGTGTCAGAGAATAACAGTTCTTGACACAAGAGTGATGTTTAGGAGAAAATATGCACTGAGCATTGTTATTCACAAGTTATTCTGTAAGAAGGAGTTAAGTGATAGACAGCTCCTAAGGGAATAAACAAATATCACTGAAATATCACCAGATTCTATCCAGGGGCTGACTCACAATTCTTTCTGTTGACTCAATGGTGATTGACAGGCAGATGAATTTTAAAACTTCTTTCAATGAAATAATGACTATTTAAAGGCTCCACCGAAACACCAACCAACGGAAAAAAAAAATCACTCCAATAGCACACTAATATTGTCCAGTAGCAATTTCTTTTTAAAAAAAAATAAGTTTTTTTATTGTGCAAATACTGTACATAGGGGTTACAATGACATGAGCAAGGTAATGAGTACCTTTCTTATCAAGCATTGAGCAATTTCATTAATTACTATGTGAGCACAGCCAAGTTAGGGAAGTCCTGAAAGAGCTGAGTTTTATTATTTGTATTGGAAATATTGCTTCAGGAGGGAATTAGGCGGCATTAACTGAATTCATGAAACAAAGTTGACTTGCATTGGTGAAAACTGTTTTGAGTATAGTATTTTTTGAGTATATAATTATTTTGATCTAATTAAATAGTGGACAGAAAAGGACACATCTTAGGCCATATACATGCCAGCACCATTGAGCTTTTCCACAATGTATACATATTTTGACTAATGAATACATTTTTATTTGTCCATTGAAACATAAGAGTATTCAAACATTTCAAAATAAGGTAATGATCTATAGCATCTATAGTGATTTTAGCTCCAGATCTCTTAATTTGTAATACTCTTTTAAAGTGTTGGAAGTACTAACTCTTTTCCTACAATATTAAACATAAACAATCTTGCTAATAATACTATGGGCTGCTCCGACGTTTACAGAAGTGTTTACAGAAGTGTAAGTAGTTCTTTCTTTTGGAGAATGAATTTGACCATTTTTGACATTTTGTTTCCCATTGTCTCAAAGCCAAATAACAAGTATGCCTGTTGCTTTAACCCCATTCCATACAATGTCTCAAATAAATACTTTAGTACATTACTCTGAGTAAAGAAGCATTAAAAATCCACTAAATATTTTATCTAACATTATTTCATCACCCATACACACTGCAAAAATTTTAAAATGTAAGTGCATTTCATATTCCAAGAATAAGTTACTTTAAATGCATGTTATATCAGTGAATCATTTAAATAAAATTCTTTTCTGTAAAATAAATAAGTTTTAATAATTTTTTAAATATTAAAGTATTGCTTAATTAAAAATTAGGGTGGAAACAACCATGTTTCTCTAGTTGAAATAATTCCAACACATATCCCTATGTAGCAAAATACAGTGGGTGAGGAAGGCATTTTCTCATAAAGAATTAGAAAACAATAATAAAGAAGTTGGGAACTTATTATAAAAAGGATAGCTCTACTGATTGAACTCAGGTGTAAATATGTGTATTCTCTCAAATTAAAAACTGACATAGATGAAGAAGAATGAAGTCAGATGAGGGTACAAATCCCAAGAAAAGCCAAAGAATTCATGGCTGTTTCTTTCATTCCTACCAATTCTTTTGAGAGTGAGAAGGTAGCTCTGATTAGAACGCTTCAGCAAAAGCTAAGTCTCTTTCTTAAATTTATTTATAAACCCTTTAGTGTATGAAAAAAAAAAGATTTAATCATAAGGTAGATTCCAGTATGGACTCCTCAGCCCTTGTGAAGGGGGGCAGATTTAAATTTAACCATATGACACAAATGTTTGCAACTCTTTCGGAAACAAGGATAGTTCAGCTTTCCAGTGAAAGCTCCACTCTGCCCAGTTTCGTTCCACGCTCCATGGAAGGTGTTCTGCCATTGTTTCTGAGTCTTCATGGAATGATTTTTGACCTTTGTTTCAGCCTTTGAAATCCATGGAGCAGAATGGGCCAGGACTGGAGTACAAAGTGAGCTGGAAACCCCAAGGAGCCCCCGAAGAGTGGGAAGAAGAGACGGTTACAAACCACACGCTGCGGGTGATGACACCAACCGTGTACGCTCCCTATGATGTCCAAGTCCAAGCCATCAATCAGCTGGGGTCTGGGCCAGAGCCTCAGACAGTGACTCTCTATTCTGGAGAAGACTGTAAGTGATGAATTAGAATCCTCAAGTACATTGCATTGGTGTCCCTAAACATTTTTTAAGGAAAGAAATGTTGAGCACAAAGACCAAAGAAGAGGATACTAGCTGTAAGGCAATGGAAATAGACAAGGCTTTTGCACCTGCAGGCTGAGTGATTGCAAGCCAGTTATTCATGAGAGGGCTAAAAAAGGACTTGGAAAGTTCTCGTCTGATTCAATACCCCAGGAAAGGTGTTTCTGCTTTGAAAATCACCTATGTGGCCTCATCAGTACATGCAGTTAAGCAACAGAACTGTCTTGAGATTTTTTCAAGGTTTCCTACAAGATGTTCTAACAGCCACCTGCATCTGTGCCTTGGGCTCTCTGTGGGTCTGTAGTCTTACCTGCACCAATGAGATACAAACCCAGATTTCTATAGAGAATGGCACATAGGTACGCACACACTGCTCTGAAGTGCTGATAACAAGACTATGATATTAAATATGCAGAGCAAAGGAAGTGCTGCAGTTTCTTTGTTGGTTAATGTAGACACTCTAATTTGTATCTCTCAACATTGGAAGGTTTTTTCCTCATTCTTCCAGTAGCCACATGAATATTTTGATCTAAAAATACAATAGGTAAAGAATGAGAAAGAATGCCTTTTTCCCTCTGCTGTCCAAATTCATCTATTCAAGTATGAACACACAGAAATCTCCCTTGTGACCATTTGTTTGGATGACCGTGGGTTTGGCTAATTCCTCTGTAGTCATCTGTAAAATGTGACAATAATCACCATGTCATACAGTTCTTTTAAAGATTAGGTAAACCAAACCAGGTGTAGTGGAATGGCATGTATGCTTGATTAATGACAACTTTTTTTATTAGTAGTAAACAATATTCCCCACTAACATTCACACTGTGAGGCAGATCATTTGCTTCCAAATGACAAGATGTTCACCAAAGAATATTGCACTTGCCATTTTTATTTTTTAATATTGTGTGTGTGTGTGTGTGTGTGTGTGTGTGTGTGTGTGTGTGTGTGTGTGTGTGTGCACATGTGCTAGACCTGGGACTTAAACTCAGAGTCTGGGTGCTGTCCCTGGGTTTTTGTGCTCAAGACTAGTGCTCTACAACTTTTAGTTAGAGTATCATTTCTGGATTTCTTTTTTTAAAATTTTATTTATTTTTTATTGTGAAAATACTGTAGAGGGGTTACAATTACCTGGACAAGATAATGAGTACATTTCTTATCAAGCATTGTAGCCTCCTCCTTTGTTTCCCCTTCCCATCCCTTCCCATCCTCCCCCCCGCCCTCCCACCCAATATGTGTCAAAGACCTTTCTACCTGGTCTGGCTTTGAATTGCAAACCTCAGATCTCAGCTTCCTGAATAGCAAGGATTACAGACATGAGCCACTGACGCCTGGATTAATTATACACTTTTTTCTCTTTAAGTAAATTTTACAAAGGCGTATACCAGCCATCAAATCAGTTTCTAACCTAACAATGCGTCTTGATCAATATCGCTCTTTCTTCACTGGACAGTGTTCTAGTTTTTTCTCCTGGTAGCCCCACTGTCCTCTTCTCCTAGCAATCCATGTGACTGAGAAAGTTTCTTCCAGGAAACATTTTCTGGTTCACCAGCGTGAAACCGATTCAACATTATAAAAGTCATCTCTGGAAGAGGACTATGCCAATCAGGTTTGGTGGTTGATGGAAGCTCATCAGTGTTTAATGTCTTATCAGATCCTGACACAGCTCCAGTGATCCATAGTGTGGACATCATAAATAGCACCTTAGTCAAAGTGGAGTGGTCAACAATTCCAAAGGACAGAGTGCATGGACATCTGAAAGGATACCAGGTTTTTATCTGTTTTCTTATTTTATTTTGACTTGGTGCTATTGAATTTGTATCTTTTCTCTGATTTTGGGAACTGATTTCAGAAACTAAGAGAGGGCATCCACCCACCACACCCTGGTCACCAGATTCAAGGGTTCATATTTTCATTGCAGGTCAATTGGTGGAAAACCAGAAATCTATTGGATGGAAGGACACATCCCAAAGAAGTGAACATTCTGAGATTTTCAGGACAAAGGAACTATGGAATGGTTCCGTCCCTTGATGCTTTTAGTGAATTTCACTTGACAGTCTTAGCCTTTAACTCCAAAGGACCTGGTCCAGAAAGTGAGCCTTACACATTCCAAACACCAGAAGGAGGTGAGAGGAAAAAACAAAAGAAGACTAACGCCTAGCATGCCTATATTTCTGTCCTCATTTGAATTATATGAACTTTGTAGTAGTTAACTTCTTCATTTCTATAAAATTTGAATTTGATGGCACATTGTGGTATGGATTTTAGGAATAGACCAATTCACTTGAATATTCATTCATGGTCTTGTGTTTTCTAGTACCTGAACAGCCATCTTTTCTCAAGGTCATTAAAGTTGATAAAGACACTGTCACCTTATTCTGGGGATTACCTAAGAAGCTAAATGGAAATCTAACCGGCTACCTATTACAGTATCAGATTAGTAAGTAGACTTGAATTGGGATCAATGCACTAATAACTCAGTTTTTGATGGAATATTTGGCTTGCTATTTTCTTGATACAATGATGACCTAAGTCATAGTTGTATGCTGCCATACCTCTCTACAGCAAAGGAGATCTGTCAATGAGCTTGCAGGAAATGATCACTTACAGAATTGTTTTGCTCAGTGATATTCTATTGAAACACCACCACATTCACTATTTATCTATTATCCAGAACTGTTTGATCTAGAGTGGCAAACTTGAGTTTTATCAGAGAAGGTACAGGGTCCTCAGAGTTGACAGCCTGATCTTGGTAGAAAGGTTTGTTGACTGATACTCCAGAAGTAAAACCAGGATTCCAACAGATTTCAGGAAATATGTGTTTGCTACTACCTATAAGCCTTGAGAAACACAGAGCAGAGCAGAATTAACAACATAATTGAGAGTCAAAGTAGTGTGGCTTCCTCTCTAAGATCCTCTTCTACATCACATATGGAGTTCAGCCTCAACACTAAATATACTCATGTAGAATCCTCTATTAGTAGCCTGCTGGTTCTAGCAGATAATATTAAGAAGACAACAGAGTTGTCTTTGCACCATTACTCAGGATAATCTGTCCACATGTTTCAGTTTAAACACATTCAGATCATACTTAAAATCACTAACTCTAACCTCCAAGTCTTCAAAATTACTTATCATCTCAAAATGGAAATTAGTGAGCCTAAACCATAGAACACGGTATTAACCAAAGAAACATAAAAATGTTAGATGTTGAAGACATACAGCCAAGACTGCTAGAAAGAATCAGACTACCTCACTTGCCAAAGCCAACCCTGTTCAGACCCTCTGGCATCATGGAAGAGCTTCTGCAATTAACTCATGCCCTAGCTCTGACTAATTCCCATGGCTTCTGCTCTGAGAGCAAAGTCTGTTTATCTAGATATGGGCAAAACTCCCAAGGAGATAGCATTTGAGGGTTTCAATCCTGGCTGTGTGGCAGGCTCTTCCTATGTTACTTCATGAAAAGAAGCAAACTGCAAGATAACACTAATGAAGACCCATTGAGTCCCTGCTTCATATGGATGGAGGAATGAAAGCAATAGATGCCACACATTAGAGCCCCATAATGAAACAGGATCATGTATGGATGCAAATCCATCTGCATTTACTGAGCTGTCCCACCACATTCTACCATGCATCGGTTTAAAAAAATAATATTGCCAGAAACGAAGAAAAATCGGAAGAGTTTTGAACTGTTTGATAAAAATGTGTCTTATTCTTAATAATAAGAAACAACATCATTTCAATCCCAATCCTTGTAATAATCTGTAAGTAAGATTTAAACTTAAAAAAGAACAAAGTTCTTAAAAATAGGGGAGAAATGGAATATTAAGAATTAATAGTAATTGTTAGTTTATTCCTTCATAGGTTCATTTTAAAATAAAATATATACTTTTGTCTATTAAGTGCTTGAGATGTTTTAGGTAGTTTGTCTTTTATTGCTATTTGTACTACATTGCTCTCTATGTTAAGTATATATCTATGCATCATAGATATCCTATCTATAATATGTATCTATGTATATATTTTATCTATCTATCTGTCTGTCTGTCTGTCTGTCTATCTATCTATCTATCTATCTATCTATCTATCTATCTATCTATCTATCTATCTATCTATCCACCTTTCCCAGAAAATGCAAAGCCTGGAGTTGAATCCCCAATCCCACAAAAAAGGAGGAAAAAATTCTTATATACCATAAGTAAAAATTAAAACAAAACACACTGTAACTTTAATGGTTAAGTAACATGAAATTTGAGACATTGTCCATGCTTCTTTCTTTAGTAAATGACACCTATGACATTGGAGAGTTGAATGAGATCAACATTACCGGCCCATCAAAAGCCAGCTGGCATCTGTCAAACCTTAGTGCAGCCACCAAGTACAAGTTCTACCTGAGAGCTTGCACTTCTAAGGGCTGTGGAAAGCCAGTCACAGAGGAGAGCGCGACCTTAGGAGAAGGGAGTAAGTACCAGGGGCCTTTGTGTGTCATGGCTTCTTAAAGCACCATCCTGACCAAGAGACACCTTGCTCTTCATTGTAAACTACAAGGGACTGTGATCCTAATCTGTCTGATCACCACAGACATAGAATCAAAACCTATTGCAAGTCCTTTTAAAGCTCATACTGCCTCATGTGATGGATTTCCAAATAATAGCCATCCAACAAACCACAGTTTGTTGTAGACAGGGCCAGGACCCATAATCCCTCTTTAATTAAAATATGGGGACCCAAGGTGATCAAATTGTTCATGAGGTGTTAGTAGAGAGAGATTTCTCTTTGGGAAATGTGTCCATAAAGAAAAGCATCTGCCTTTTTTCCTTGGAAGGTATGCTTCCATGCAGAATCTGACATACTACGTCCTACTTTCGTGCCTTAATACAGAGGTACAGGGACTCATATGTTAATTGTATTGTATTGTCTGGTGATGTGTTTCAAACCACTAAGTTTAAAAATGACCGAGTGATCTATAGTTTCATTGTAATGCTTCCCCTAATCCAATCATACTTTCTATTTGTTCCTACCCTATCACATTTCTCTTCAGAAATTATTTCTCCAATTATGATTTAAGCTTTCTGTTATAGCCATAGGACATCATTGGAAATAAGAAAGTAGAGTAATATTGTAAAATAGATTGGAAAAACTGACTTACACTGTATTCAGAAGGTGCTTTACGGCATGACAGCTCCTTTGTCCAAGTACTTAAAAGAGAAAAGAAAGTGGGATTGTGAATGATTCCGGCTGGTCAGACATGAGAGGATTTGAGAGAGAAGCAATATCTAGAAAGTAGTGAATGAAATTAAATTGTCATTTATTAAAGCTGTTTCTTATAATAGGCTCAATTTGTGAACCACTAAGTCAGTGTGCTTGGGTGTTAAATAGTTTCCCTTCCCCTTTATAGTCAATTCTTCCTCCTCTGTCTAGATTAAAAAAAAGCATTCTTGTTCTTTCCAAGCTTCTTTAATATTTAAATTCCCTTATATGTAAAGAGTATATATTTTCAAATGATACCCCTAAACTCCTATGGCTTATTACCAAGGATGGATCAAGTAATAAATGTAACTGAAAAATTCACTCTTCACAAATGATAGGCATATCCTAGTTTGTTTAAGAGTATTGAAGGAAAATATTCATGAGATTACTTACAGAGGTTACATGTTCTACCCTGTATGTTGAAAATTTTCATCTTGGTGGCATTCACATTTGACAAAATGATTTTATGGAGGATGGCAATAATGTGTGTTTTTGATGTGTAATGTGTGTGTGTACACACATGTGTGTATATGTGTGTGTGTGTGTGTGTGTGTACATGCAAGCATGTGAGCTGTGACCAGAGCTTGAACTCAGGGCCTGGGCCTGGTCCTGTCTCTTGAGCTTTTGTGCTTGTGGCTAGTACTCTATACTCTTCCACTTTGAGCTGCAGCCACAGTGCCATGAACAGCATTTTAATGGCTGATTGGAGATAAGAATCTCATAGACTTGTTGGGCCAGGGCTGACTTGGAACAGCTATCCTTAGATCTCAGCCTTCTAAGTAGCTGGGATTACAGGAGTGAGCCGGCTTTTGGTTTTTCTATAACCCCGGTCACATTTCTGTCAGCTAAAGCTATCACTGGTGAGTTTGTATGTCTCCAAGCAGATTTCTTCTTTCTCCTATGTGTCCCTCATTAACATACTCCCTAATCGTGCTCATGTTCTTTTTCAGATCTGTGTTTTCACTCTTCCAGTGGCTTTCCCTCCTTTCCCAGTTGACAATGATGTTTCCTCTGTCAGCATGCTTTGCCATGTTTATGAGATAAACATTGTCATATCTCGTCCCCCTGGATTCCAACACGGTCTTTGAAAATTAGATATATTTCCACAAAGGAGATTCATTTTGAGTTAGCTAAACATTCTAAAAGTGATAACTTTGGTTAAATGGCAGACTACATCTCCATATTTTCCCTCTTCTTCCTCTGGCTGGAGCGTATATTTTAAGCACAGTTGCACAGCATGAGATTTAACAGGCATGCGCTTTTGTTGGTGTGTGTGTGTGTGTGTGTGTGTGTGTGCGTCTGTGCGTCTGTGTGTCTGTGTGTATCTGTGTGAAGGTTTTCTGGTTGTCACTTCAGGTTTCTGGCCACACAATCTAACAGGGAAAGGAAGGAGTCAAAGAGAAGTGTGTTCGTGTATTGTCTATGATTGAATAAGTCACTCACTTTTCTCTATTTTCCCCAAACTTGCACTGCCTAACATACTAATATTTCTGGTGTTTCAAGGCCAAAATCAATTGCATTCTATATTCAGTGAATCTTTAAAGCATTACTCAGCTCTTAAACTGGCCTTCTTTCCTTTCATGGTGTCGTTCTAATAACACCATCTTGTTATTCAGTTTTTACTCTGTGGTAAAAAATTAAAACCAAATATTGATATGTAACCTGCCCACTTAAAAGTATACAAGCCCTTCCATTCTCATTATGGACTGTATTTTATTTCATGTATAGGTTGTGATCATTTTCTGATTCACTATTACTATATTGAATTTATTTCTAGCAAAACCAGGGACTAAGTGCAGAAAGATACTTGGTTACAAGATTTTAAAAAATGCATCTTTAATTATGCTTAACCCTTTCATCTGTTTCTGTAAGATTTTTACTATTAATACATTGGCATTTTGGAAAAGTATTCATTTCTCACACTAATTTCCACATGTCTGTGAAACCATTCCATTTCAGTGTGCCTATAAACCTGCATCTTAGGTAGCTTAAGTTTGTATAATTTCAAATATTTAATATATGACCAAATTATGATCCTTTTCCATCAATACATTTGGAGAAAAGGCAAAAATATATGTAAATGTATTTATTTAATATGGAATTATGCCAAATACATCGTTGATTAATATCATAATATCATGAACACAAAGCCAAAACACAGTTTACTCCACTAGGCCCATGGAAATCCAAATTACATGAAATTATATTGTATAGATTTCTCAAGGCTATGTCTGGTTTTTGAACCACTTAGAGAAGTAGGCAGATTTATAGTTCCATCCCATTGACAAACACATCATCTTAAACAACCATGAATTTTACATCACCTCATTTTCTCATTTTAAGTTTAGTTTTTTTAAAAAAATAAAGTCTTAAAATGTTAATTTTCTTGAAAGTCCAAGAAATATTTAAGGAAAAAACAATGCTAATGTGGAATTTCATTTTTACCATCTCGAATAACAATAATATATATTTACCTTTCATATCCTGCCTGTCCATGATTACGATTCACTTGATTTAACTGTGTACCTTTCTTAGGTAAAGGTATCAGGAAGATATCAGAAGGAGTAAATCCTACTCAAAAGATTCACCCAATAGAGGTACTTGAGCCTGGAGCAGAACATATAGTTCGCCTAATGACTAAGAATTGGGGTGATAACGATAGCATTTTCCAAGATGTAATTGAGACAAGAGGGAGAGGTGAGAAATGAGATTCTCTTTGGGGTAGTCTTAGCTGATACACCTGTGTCCTGTGGATTAACTGTACTATACATTCCGTGTTCCAGTCAAAACACAGAGGGCGTCAATAAGCAAGTCACAATTTCCATTTACATGGGAATAGCATTTCAAAATTCTCAACATGTAAATCTTTGACAATAGGCCAAGTTCTCTCTTACTGTTTTTTTTTTAACCAGAGTAATCACTAAAACAACATCATCCGTTAATTGGCATCTGTTAATAACACACACTAAACAGAGAAGAAGAATAAATCAAAAAGCCACAGAATGGCTATGGCGATCTGCTTGTAACTCAGGCAGCCTATGCTTTTCCTTGCTTCCTGTTGCTTTAGCATTTAACATCTGCCTCGCTGCCTTCCTCATGTCTGTCCTCAGAAGCAAAGGCAAGTAGGGTCCTTCCTTACAAAGGAGGGAGTCGCTCACTAGTGGTTCCCCAATGGAATGGCCTTAATGACTTTTATTTTTCTGAGATCATTCAAAAACCAAACCCAAACCATGGAATTGGGTATTTTGTTGATTTTTAAATATCTGACTTTTCCTAGAAGTGACATAGAAACTCTAAATAGTTTTTAGAGTCCAAGGGTGTGACATCTCTTTATTCCACAGAATATGCCGGGTTGTACGAAGACATCTCTACTCAAGGCTGGTTTATTGGACTGATGTGTGCGATTGCTCTTCTCACACTAATATTGTTAACCGTTTGTTTTGTCAAGAGGAACCGAGGTGGAAAATACTCAGGTAAATTCTTCCCACTGTGATTTTTGGCTTATTAAATTGTGTTTTCTGGGAGCAACCTTCAGAGACTTTTTAATTTTTTAAATTATAAATGTAAGTCAGGTTTATATATCCATGTATAGTTACATAAATTAAATTAACTAATCTAAAAGTAGAGGGAGGACCTATGTTACTTCTAAGTAATGATTTGCTTTCTAGTTTCTGATGATTAAGACAGGTTTGTCAGAACTCATGATACTATTCAAGATTCTATGTTCCATCAATAAAATAGAAGAGATACTGAAAAGTCATCTTACTTACCAAATTATACATGTTTTTATATCCTCAGAAGAAAGGTGCTATCCATAGCACATCTCTGTATATACATGATCTAGATTTTTATTTGTCAGTTGTGGGGCTTGAACTCAGTACTTGGCCACTGTCCCTGAGCTCTTTTGCTCAAGGCTAGCTCTCTTACCAACTTGAGCCACAGCTCCATTTCCAGTTTTTGACTGGTTAATTGGAGATAAGAATCTGATGGGGACTTTTCTGTCCTGGATGGCTTTGAACCGTGATCTTCAGATCTCAGCCTCCTGAGTAGCAAGGATCCTGTGCCTGGCATGATCTGGCTATTTTGTACTAGAACATTCTAACGCTACTGGCTCCACTTGTCAGCTTTGTTCCTGACACTGTATTTCTTATTAGCGTGACTTGAAATGTGTATTCTACCATCTTAAATTGACGATACACTAAATATGAATAAAGGCCATGACAGGCAAACATGTAATATTTGCCTTTACATGAAATTCATGCAAATATATTATTGTCTTTCCCACATTTATAGTTTTGAATGTTGTTAAGATTATTGGCTTCATATCTATATGTTTTTGTATAAGATGATATTCAGATTACTGCTCAGGAATTCATCCACAAAGTACTTATCAAGAGTCTATCATGTGTATATAGAACCATCAAGACATGATTTGCAAGTTCTTATAAAATTGCATGGGTGGGCCTGGTGGCATGAGCCTATGATTCTAGCATGGGTTCAAATACAACCTTAGCTGCATAGTGAGTTCAGGGACAGCCTGGATTATGTAGAACCAAATGATGGTTTTATTTTTCTTTGTTTGCTTACGTTGGTTGGATGCCAGAGGCCTACAAGGGGCCTTCAAAAGATTTGGATATTGAAATTAATTAGTAGCATTTTGTCTTCACAGAGAAACCAAAGCCGGCATCTTCCTGTGAGGCTCAATGCCCTTGCAATGTTGAGGACACGTTCCTTGGGTTGGGTTTCAACAGACACGTAACTGATGTGTTGTAGATATAGCCACAGAGAGACTAAGACCACTGGTCTCAAATCATTTGTAGCAATGCTGTTTTCCTCACAATGGCTTCAAACCGTCTTTGTCTTACTATCTTTCTGCTTTCTTTGGTTCGTGCTTAGTGAAAGAAAAGGAGGATTTGCACCCAGATCCAGAAATTCAGTCAGCAAAAGATGAAACTTTTGGTGAATACAGGTAAACCCATGTCTCATTTTAAAATACATTGAAACACATTGAGCAAGTTTTTGAAATAGACAAAAATACTTACTTTATAATGATAGCTACAAAAAATACATTTTAATGTCTTTGTCATGAGTATTTTGTTGTCGGGAAAGGTTGAGCACGCCTGTAATCCCAGCAGGAGGATCTTGAGCTCAAAAGGAGCCTGAATCACAGAGCCAGGCTTTGTTTCAGAAAAACACCACCACCATCACCACCACCACCAACAACAACATTACACATGAGCAAAAACTAGCTTTCATTCTAAACAAATTTACTTATAAGTGACTTCATACGTCTCTACTAACGTGGCTTTAAATTCCTCCCAAACTAAAGGGAAAGAAGTTAAAAACAACCTACACGTATTATTTGTACTTTTTCAAATTTGATTCTTTTTTAAAAAATTTATAAATCATTTTAGTTATAAAAAAATAACTCTGGCCAGTAATTATTTTAAAAATGCATCCCTCATAGAGCTTTGGCGTTGGGTGAGTAATGAACAAAACCATGAATGAATTGTAGACCTTTGTAAATTATGCTCATTCATAGCCAATCATCAGTTGTCTCAGATACCTAATAGCTTCACACAGAAAGCATTTTCTCCAGCCTGTTTTCGCTGTGTGCCCTTGGGCTCAGAGTTTCTCAACACATTGAAGCTAGGCTACAAAACACCCACACACAACTCCTAATCTCAACCGGAAGATGACATGCATGAATAACAGGAAATCATTTCTCCCTTATTCATAGTGACATGTGTCCTTTAGGGCTTCTTCAACATGTAATGGTGGATGTATCACTCTGGCTTTCTATCTCTTCTTCTGGGCCAGTGTGGATGCCTGAAAAGTAGTAGAATCTGTTCGCGCATAGGAGTGACTCTGGTGGAATTTCAGATAGTTGGAATTGGGGTATTTTTAAGGCTTATTTTTGTTTTTGTTGTCTAGTGACAGTGACGAGAAGCCTTTGAAAGGAAGCCTCCGGTCCCTCACTAGAGACATGCAGGCCACAGGAAGTGCTGACAGTTTGGTGGAGTATGGAGAGGGCGATCACGGTCTGTTCAATGAAGATGGATCCTTCATTGGTGCTTATGCTACATCGAAGGAGAAAGGATCTGTCGAAAGCAATGGAAGTTCTACCGCTACGTTTCCACTCCGGGCATAAACACAACACACACACACACACACACACACACACACACACACACACACACACACACACACACACACACACACACGCACTCCATTCTGGCTCACCCCAAACCTTCCATGTTTATCTGGTCAAGGAAGCAAGAACTTTTATGTAGGAGTAGAAAGATGTGGGTAGATTGCATCTTGAATGCAAAACCTGCAACTGTGTTAAGAAATATAGCACTGCCCTCAAACAAACAAAAATCAAATGTAAACACTCTGGGCCTAGGTTTTCTTTTTATCTCCATTTTCAGGTGCTCAAAATGCAGAACACAAAATAAACCCTGTACTTAGATTCACCTCGACTGAACCCAAAGTGACCATTCTCCCTATCTGCCTGAATGTCCCTTTCAGTGTGCTTGCCTAGATGTTGATATTTTGTGAGTTTATCTGTGTGCACATTTGAATTCAGTCTCCATGAACTGTCTCAGTGGATTTGCTTCACCACAGGTTAAAGGATCAAAAAAATACACTGGTTATTTAAAATGTAAAAAGGAATATGAATATGTTATTAAAACCACTCGTTGAGTATATAGAGTCTAAATTTATTATGTAAAATTTTGAAAGTAAAAGTCTTAGGTGAAGAGTTGACTAGTATTTATTGAGCTCCTATTTCTCCAGAGATGGTCATATTTCCAATGAGTTACCAATTTCAACCTGAGATCATTTTCATTCATTGTATTTGATCAGTTCTGACATTCACAGGCATCTATGTATTGTGTTTCGTATCTGGACTAACCTAAGCTACAAAGGGAGCAGTGGTGAAAAATTTATTTTATGAACAAGCATGACATATCTATTCTCTGGATTTCTGTTTGATATCTGTATTTCTAAGTTGATTGTTTCTTTTCTATCTTCTATTCATATGAGGGTATGTCCTCATGCAATTTGCAAATGCATTGTATATATTATGTTAATATTTACATAATTAAAATATAGTGTTTTATTTTGAAGGGAGAACAAAACATGAGTAGGCAAGGCTGTACAGGTAGAATATAATATGTTGTCATTTTCATCATTCCAAGGCTACAGCCAATAACAGGAGATTCTGAAAGTGAAGGCTTTGTATAAAGCATTTAGATTCTGTTCTTATGAAACTTTCTTTCAAGCAATTTCAAAATAATATATATATAAATACTGAGGGAAATGTTTCCATATTTTTCAAACTAAGTTTTTGTTGTTGTGTATACATTTACCCTAGACATCAATAAAAAAAAAAACCTATTGACAGTAGAATTTCCTATACATGTTTGTCTATATCAGATTTTAAATGTATTTATGGTGAGATTATTATTTTTTTCTTTCTGTCAAAATTAGTATAAATTCAGAGAATTTATTTCCTGGCATGCAGGCTACTGGTCTTTGGAAATGGTAGAGAAAAATGTTTTAGCAATGGACTATGCATACATATCAGTAAAATGTAGGGTTTAATTTCCTCTTTTATAGAAATACATTGTTCCCTCGCCCTGAAATTATTAACTATGTTTAAATGAAGTTGAACCACAGAGTTTTCCTTTATTTTCTAAGCTGTCATTATTGATGTATGCTGTTAAATCTTCAGTGTTGATTTATGTTACCCATAATATTTCTTATGGACCAAAATTAGGGCCATTTATGATGACTGAGCAGTGCACTAAATCACACATAGTATCGAATTGTCCTTTATAAGCTCATGTGTCCTTCAAAACATGTAGTCATGATGTAGTCAGTATGTATTATTTAAGTTCGCTTTTTTTTCATTAGCTCAGATTTTGGCCATACTCCTGAAAGGAAATCATCAATGGAGGGAAGTATCCTTGATCCTCCATCCTGTGTAAAACAAGGTCCACACATCTACTGGTGGAACTTGAGCTCTATCACCATCTGATTTCTAAGGGTACGACTTTTCTGGATAAGAGTCATTATGTATTGACTTATCCTGGAGGAACTCCTGGTGTTCAGGTACTGAGCAGATGAAGGTTGGGACTTTCAGGTTTTAATTGTGCTATTTATTTCTTCATCATTAGCAAAAAAAAAAAATGTAGTTTTCCGTGGGTCACACAAATTAGAAATCAGTCAGAAGTTAGCACAAATACAGGAATGTTTACTCTTAGGATTCTTTGCCTACATTTCACTTTTTGATAAATAAGGACTTTCCTAATCTTGTTTTCAGAATTGGTCCACATTTACAGACTTGCAAAATGAGATGGGATTATGGTTACCAATTGCTTTTATTCTTTGGTTTCCTTTCCTCCATACCTCTAGCTTCTGCTGGAAATCTTCAGCACAGAGGGATAAAAGGACCATGATTTTCTGATGATAGTTAGAAAATAACATGATTCATATGTTTCAGGTACTACAGTATGTCTTAAAATTTTTTTAAAATCCATGTAGGTAAATAAAACTCCATGCTATTAGTTTCTCTCAGAAGGTGAGAGGCAGAGTTTGTGATGTGTAATGTAGGTCATCAATGGGTGATAATTGCTTGTGAAAAATCTCCACTGAGGAATAAGGCAGTAGACATGCAGAACTCTGCTTAATTGGCTTACAAGTATTCTGTTAGTCTACTGCAATATATATCAATGTAATGGATTGTATAGAGTCTCAAGGATTGCCAAAGGGGAACTATCCAAGCATCAGGAAAATCCATGTTCTCTTCCTTCTTCCAGCACCTGATTCTGCACATGAACTTTTAAGCAAGTTGTTTAACTCCTTTGCTTCAAACTCTTTCCACTCGTAAGTGCTAATGATAATTTTCACAGGGTCTTCTTTTGTATGAAGTAAAGTTTGCAAATGATAAAAGCTAAGATGCCTTTTAACTTCATAAACCAACCAATGATAACCCAGTGATGTATGGAAAAGTCACACTGTACACACACCAACCCAACTTTTTCCTGTGAGTGCATAAATATATTTTTATAGAAAAATCTACAGAAAATAAATTAAAGCTGCCATTGTTCACTGAACGGTATGATTTGCACATGCCATTGAAAATAACTAATCCGAAGAAAATTAAGCAGGGTCTTTGGTAAACAAAAGGGTTTCCCACTAATCTCGCATGCCTATTTGTAAGAAAAATGTGAATTTGGTGGGTTTATTCTATTGGTATAAAGGCATCTGATATTTTCGATGTACCCGTGTTTATAAAAACAAATGTAGAGCACAATGAAAGTATGCTGGGAATCTCAAATAATATTTTTCGTCCTATTTTATACTCATGGAAGAGATAAGCTAAAGAGAGGACAATAATAAGAAACATTGGTGTGTTTTTCTAAGCATTGAAAACATAATTGCCAATTGAAACCCCAGATGTTTACATTCCATTAAGATATAATCCTTGTAACACTTTTCAATTGGTTGTAATGGAATTGGTTTGTAATCTGTGCTAGTATCTATTCTAGTGTTCCTGTAGTAAAATAGGAAGGGTTGAGCCAAAGCTTACATTGATTTGTATCTAAAATGGTTTGATCATCATTAAAAGAGATGATAGGGCAGGTTCACCTGATTATCTTTTGAAAACTTAGATTAATATTCCTGGTAGAACTTTAATTACAATGTGTTTGTGTTGTAGGTGGTGTTTGTATTGTTTATCAATATGTATGGTTCAAAGATATTTTCATTACACATGAAATTCAGCTTTCCAAATAAAAGTTCAACTTCACATACTCTGAAAGAACGTTTGTATTCTTCTCCCTGAATGCCCCATTCTCCTCCACACCTCTTCCTCCATAACATTGGACTCCCTCCTGTGTTACATCCCTTCTATCCATGACCACAGGCTCTGCTGTGAAGAAATCCAGTTAAAATATCTTTTATCAACTTCAGATACTTAGCAAATTCCTATCTCAATATTTATTTTTTCTTTTTTGCCAATCCCTGGCCTTAAACTCTGGGTAGGCCTGGGTGCGGCCCTTGAATTCCTTTTGTTCAAGGTTGGCACTCCACACTTTGAGCTAAAGCACCACTTTCAGCTATTTCTGTGATTAATTAGAGCTAAGAATCTCACAGACTTTCCTGCTTGGGCTGACTTCGAACCAAGATCCTCAGATCTCAGCCTTCTGTGTAGCTAGGATTACAGGCATGAGCCATTGGCACTTAGCTTCAAGGCTTTTAAATATCTTACTTTCCTTTTTTCACTGGTGCAGTTTGACTTACGTTGTGTGGATCTGTGATACAGCCTTGATGTATCGTATTAACCTAAACATTCCATAAGGGCGGGGGAAGGATTTTCGTTCTTGCAAGAGATACCAAAGCACCTCGCTGAAGGCTTGGTATATGATAGGCAGCGGCTAAAGGTTTGCAAAATAAAAGAAGGAATCACAAGGCAGAGATGTCACAAAATAATGAATGTATCCAGAAAATACACAAGAACCGCTTATGTTTGTACCCACCCCAAGTGCTTTTAGCGCAGCGTCCTGGATCTTTATGCTGCACTAACAGTCAAACTCCAGCCCTGACACATGTACCACTGAACCAAGTTCCCCATTCTTGGGAACTTTGAGACAAAATCTTCCAATGTAGCCTTGCTTGTGCTCAATCTCAGTAACCACTTGCCTGTGGCACCTGGGTACTGGGATTACTGGCTTGTGCAAAGATGCCAGGCCCTAAATTCTAGTACTTGGTTTCTCTCATCTATGCAAGTAAGGCAAGCCAATAACATGTGAAACATTCTTGAACCCAGTTTTTCCCTCATGTCCAAAGTCCAATCCCAAACCTTGCACAGGCTACAAAACATTCCAAATCCGTTTTCTCTATGGTCATTGCTACCCCTTACACTAAGCCAACATCACCCTCTCTCTCCAGTCACTGGTCATTATATTTCATTCTTATCCCCTTCTCCAATCTATAAAGCAAGCCCAGTGTTGTCAAACTGTAGAAATGATATAGAAATCATTTTTTCCTCCAAGTCGCAAGCTCTAACCACAGGACCATATCAGAGCTGCCTCTGCCTATGTATCTATGTCCTTCTTGCCAAAGCAAAGCTTGCACCCATTCT